ACACTTAAATTAACTTCTCAGACCCGTTTTATGTTCACTATGCATATATGTCTCATACATATTGATATTTCATTATCATTTTCACTCAATTGAGACTTTCATCGCATCACTCCAAACTATGACTGCACAAACATTTATTCTAGTGTCATATCTTACTACGATAATAAGTTGTTTTTTCTTAATTATTTTTTGTTAATAATTTACATAGTCGTTTGTTATTGTTTTATGTTCATAAACACGCCAATTAAACTGTTTGCGTATTTCGCGTCTCCTTTATTTCTACTCCCTTATTTTCTCCATTTCCTTCTTTAAACTCAATTCAATATTCTTCTCAATTACACAGACCCGATTTATTATTATTAATATTCTACTATTATTACTCTAAAATTTTTTTAATATGGCAAGTATAATGCTAACATTATTGAAAATTGTGTATTATTGCATTTTTTGAAGAAACGCGAAACGGTTTCTTCACAACACTTATGTACCCATAAGATGTTTGTGAATAATAATAATAATACAGATGATTACAGTATGTTTCTCTATCAGTTGCTCATTCAGTAAATATCTCAAAACCTTGTCAGTCTAATTGATAGTTTAGCGACACAATCACGCATGCAAATAATCAGTATAAGCAGTCGACCAAATCTCCTGCAAACTGAAAACATCAATGTCGAATTGACTCCAACACTGACTAAGTTTCAAGCCATTATCATAGACATGAGTTGGGAGTGTACTCCCCTTGGTTACAACTTATGTTCTCCCTGATAATCACATGAGCATCACTCACTATTAATCGTTTTGTAAAAACTTATTTAGCCAAATACATCTTGCAGCACCACATCACTTAGTAATATGACACATAGGCTTAACTGATTTCTATAACTTATAACCACTATATCTCAATTAAATCGTGTTCCCCTTTATGATAAACTGCATACTCGCAACTAACTTGTATGCTCACTCAGCCGGGAAGTATTAATATAAATAAATAGTCTATGGCAACGCAGAACATTGAGTCCAAAGCATGTCTCTTACGAATACACTCATGTTTAACGATTTTTTCCTAGCTATCTGTCCAAAATTCATACAATTATCACGCATGTATTTAAATTTTGTTTTGATAACCATTCATGTGTATTAGTAGTATACTAAATTCTATTACGGTCAAGTAAAAATGAGGTTGAGAAAATCTTCCCGTAACTAAGTAAACCGTATCAAACTAACTGGAACACTAGTAGGAATTCTTCTTCACGGTAATACTTTTGTCCCTTCAGTTAGCCTAGTAATACAGATGCAATCGGAAATCAACTCATATTGACAGCTTACTAGCGTGAAGTTATTTGGTTTCATAATTTAAACCCAAAGTAATACCAAGATTAACATTTCTACAATATTCATTGCTTTAATATTTCTAAACACAAAATACTTACTACCCATACGTTAAGTTATTAACCAACGGCTATTAACACGCATCGTTTTATTATTATTATTGTAATCCCATTTTTAATAGCTCAAATAATCTTCACCCAAATTTTCATTTTAAGCGTGCTAAGCATGAAAGCAGATATTTTGAGATTATTACATGTATTCTCCGACCAAATGCTACCGCCTTTTTGATTTATCTTTCAGCTTATTAATACCCGGAGGATTCTTACTAGTCTTGGTAACCTTTGGCGCACGACAATCCCACCCAGTTCGGTATCGAGCCAACATCACGTTGATTCTGGTGGGAGAGTAGTGTAGTGGCATTAGACTATAACCACACAATTTTCAAAGCTGAACACAAGACTACTCAGAAAATAGATATTCAATATTTAACGCGGAGAAATGCCTAACGATGGAAAAGGCGGGAACAGTTAATCGAATGAATTGGAGTTGATTGAATGGCATGGCTCGGTCACAAAGGAGTGGTCCCTGTTATCTTATATCTTTTAACCATAATAAATATATTGTCCTATCTCTAGCCTAAGCTTGTTCTCCATCATGTATTGATAATTGTTATGATGCAATGAGTTGGTGTAGACGATGATGTAACTTCCACGTAAGATCTTATAGATTAGGCAGCTATATCATGACAAGTCTATAATTTTAGGATTAGGTCTATTATTAGAGCAGTACTAATATCATAGTAGACCATAATTCTACAAGCACCAAGTCCAAATTTCTGTCTGTTATCACCTACATTTCTACAGAACATTTGTCATCTCCCTCTATCTCACGGGCGTTTTTGAAATTTCTTCTTTACTTTTATTTCTTATACAACAGCAACTGTCTTCTTATCTTCCTCTGATGACCAATACTGAATTTCTGAATTCTAATGAAGTTACACAATTAACTGACTTTCGAAATTTATATTTTGCCTCATTTAAAAGCCATTACTTCTGAATATTATGATTAATTTTCGCAACTCATTCCTACTCAACACACGCTTCCGTTCACAATTGATTGATCACTGGGTGGTGATCAATCTCATGCTTGTCTAGTCCTTATTAGTGCAGATCGAATGCTATCGATCATGTTGCAATGTGGCCACCAGTCTAGGTGACTCGACACTGCGGGCACGGATCGGATAGCTCAGTGGTAACGTCTCTGACTGTGAAGCTGGGTGACACGAGATCGAATCCGCCAGGGAGCACCAGTTCCCTCAAGATTACAGGTACACCTTGCTGACGAGTGCCAAGTAGCACGAAACCCGGGTCCAGGGTTTCCTGTTGACTACCTCCAACCACCATCTAATCTCAATACATAGTGCCCGCAGTGTCGAGTCACCTAGACTGGTGGCCACATTGCAACATGATCGATAGCATTCGATCTGCACTAATAAGGACTAGACAAGCATGAGATTGATCACCACCCAGTGATCAATCAATTGTGATTACATCTCAGTCCTACAGGAGGTTAGTCACGGCTCGGATAGCTCAGTGGTAACGTCTCTGACTGTGAAGCTGGGTGACACGCGATCGAATCCGCCAGGGAGCACCAGTTCCCTCAAGATTACAGGTACACCTTGCTGACGAGTGCCAAGTAGCACGAAACCCGGGTCCAGGGTTTCCTGTTGACTACCTCCAACCACCATCTAATCTCAACACGCTTCCGTTTCATGACAGTCACATAACAGAAACAGTTAGTCTACGTAGCGAAAACCAACATACAATAATCAGACATCGCAAACCATGAAGGACAATTTTAAGCAAGAGGAAGATGGAACGGTTATTAGAAGACTGAACATCACCGAAGAGTTAGTCACAGTTAGTGATACAGTAATAACAATGACGAGTGAACCAAAGGTGAAATTTATATATTAAAATAATGACAACAATTAAAGAAACGCCAAAAGAAATTGAAGTGATGAACAAATCCCCAGAATAAATAGCTCCGTAAGTTTTTGGCATTCATCATCGGTTTTACTGAACACACTAGCTAAAGGAGCTCAATCACGCATTCATATCGGATCATGAATGTGTACACCTTGCTACGTATCCCTTGCAACGTCTAGCCAGCCTAGACAAAACGCTTCTCGACATATCGATAGCATTCCGAATGAACCCTCGAACTCATTCATTTCTAACTTTTGATTTGACTGGGTTATTATCCTTCAATTCTAAAGATGTAACCTTTAAAGAAAATGTCAAACTCCAGATATCTGTGGCATTTTTGAGTGTTTTATAATCACAAAGCTTAAAATAACGCAGGAATCAAATAACACCCAGATGTTACATTCCAGGTACTAAATTGTTCTGTAAAAAAGGAGATTTGTGCGGTGAACGAATGTACAGACGCACCAATAAATGACTTAAAAATAGAGTATCGGGGTCCGCCATGTCCGTTAGTAGAAAAACAGTAAGACATATGATGCTGTTGGTATTTGTGTAGTCATTCTTCGGCGCAGAGAACATTCCACTTGACCTTCCACCAACTGATCAATCTAAATATGAACATTAGATTAAAAAACTATCAACAAGTTCCACAAGTTTCAGATGATTGCATATATTGACGATTGTTCGTTGGTTAGAGCTAAAGTAACAATTTCTGAAACCCTACATCAACAATCAACAAAACTGATGTTCCTATCTTACATTCCACACATCACTCGCTCGCTAACTACAGTGTATGCAAACAATACACAATGGACTTAACATGAGTAGATGTACCTAGTTTCTGTCTGAAAAAAACAAACATCAGTAGACTGTGGTAGTCAGAAGTGAGTCATTAAGCATTAACAATGGCCCAACTGGAGAATATCGAAATTGTTGTCAGAAGTTGACCATTTAATTTCTTACCTTATGTAGACATAACTTTTGATATTTTTCTCTGTTAAATGATAAAGTGTTCGTGATTCCTAGTGGCAGCGCCTTGCTCCACTGACTCCTCATGAAGTCCGAGAAGTGAGTAGAACAGCTCTCACTATAAAACGATATGTGATTATTTGTCAAATAAGTTTTTTTCCGTAGTCCATTTAATATGTATGAGTTCAGTATACATCATGCTCCTTGGAATCTCAATCCCCCAACTTCAGAGAAATCCACATTTTTAAAATCACATACCGAGTAGAATGTTCGCGCTGGTCAACCTCGCACTTAGCTAAAAGTAAGTATTTCTGTAAGTCTTCAACATTGATGACGACCTTATTAGTTTTACTGGATACATCCTTGGTCAAGCGTCAACCATGTTATGAAATCCTCAAGAAAGCCATTCATCTTAGCCGATAGATGACACCACTCGCCTTATCTCCTAAAAAGCATGGCCTAAGTCAATTACTACAGCGACCAAGACAAACCATTAATTACAATCAACCTCATAATATATACCATTTGCTAGATAAATTCGCCTGGATGAGTTTTTGCAGGCATCGATGATTCACTGCTACAAGAAACATAAACCCGTTGAGCAAAAGTTTATTCTGTTTCGTCCACAGTCACTAGAACTATTCGAATCATAGCTTGATATTAGATACCATTCTCAAACGTTACAGGTCTCAAGGCCTCCATTCTGATTAGCGGGTATTTTGTGCTCAGGGTCGCACCGACGTACCTTAAATAATGGAAAGGCCTTTACTTTCTCCATTTAGTCCTAATCTGCCATATTCTGCAAAAGAACGATGGGTTTGCGTTTATCCTGCGTATTTAAATAATCGTCGGACAAGAGCTCAAGGGAGGAAATTGTCTGTGGAACACTGTGTTGATAATCCTAAGCATTCGGAAGTAACGATGATTTTGGGGAAGCTCTCTCTCGACTATCTGTTAGAGACAAAGGTTATTCTCATCTGTTTATAGTCTTTTATAGTTTTCAGGTCCATCCTAAGGAAAGGGATGCTTTCGAACCTATGAACAAATGGCGTGTCCGCGTCCATTTGAAAAACGATGATGGCAGTCCCGTAAATGAACAGTAATCGTGTCTTCTTGTTTCTCAGCTTCTAGGTTTCCAAATCGTCAGTCTCTTTTATCATATTTGGGAAAGGCTCTTCCTGTAGTGCGGTCAAGAAGACCAACCACATCAAGTTCTAGTACTACGGAACAAACCTTCCAAGGAAAGAAAAACAAGCGAAAAAGGAAGTGAATACATAGATTTAAAAGTTTAACATAACCTACTATCATGTACTTACCGTAAACATACTTCGTCTTGGGTGATTTTGTCCTTATGATTACTTCTCAGTGTTTTTACAATTGTCTTAGAGTGAAAATATAAAAGATTGGTTGGTTGCTGATTTGTCTCAGTATTCATCTTTATGGGTGACCAACTAGCTTGAGACTGCTGATTGCTAGTCTCATTATTATCTTCGTGTATGTACGGCGTAGTGTCTAATTGTTTCGGTGGTGTATATTTGAAGTTCATTCAATGTCGAACTGTCATAAAGCGATCCTAATATCTGTATAGTATGTAGTCATGGCATCTCATATAAGGGCCTTTTGTTTGTATGGCAAAATTTCACGTTATTTGAAAGTCACTTCTCATATATTATCAAACACTTATTTTCACTTCACGGAGCCGAGGCTGAAGTTACGAATTCCAAATTTCAACCACTAAATTTCATAGTTGATCTAGCTTTATTTACCCTGGTTTAGGAAACCCGGTTATTTTCGCTAATTTTAAACCATGTGCACTAATACCTACTTTGTAAATGAGTTGAATAAAATGTCCCACGTCAATGGTATATGAGATTATGCTACCTAAAATCGCTTCGGTTGCCAACTTTAAATATGTAGGCTACAATACTTCAAACTTTGATAGGTTTGTCTCCATCTATGAGTTTCTAGCGATCGGATATTCACGTTCGTACTTAACTCAGGATCGATTACTCATTCGGATCGCTTCAGTAATGTTTTTATTCTATAGTCTGAACGAGAATATCATATGTTAGTTCCTTAAACTGTGTGTTGTTCAGTAGCACCAGTATATTTTTTATCTGTTTCGAATTGAAGATCATATTGGTGGCATCTGGTTAGCTGCGAATATTAGACATTTCTGTCAGTCGAGTATTTTTGCGTCTCAAGCTTACCTGTTGAGATGGCGAAGATTTGTAGCTCAGGTGGATGATTTGGATGGTTTGGTCGTGCAGCATTCATCGTTCCTCTGAACGACATCAGCACAAACTTCAGGTAGAAGTTTCTCAGAAGATTCGTCTGTTTGAATAACTGGTTAGTAACTTTCACAGATGACCTCAATATTCTACGTAGTTTGGTTACAGATGTTAAACTTCGTAAATATCCTGTTAAAGATGAGACTACAATTTATGGACGACCTCTGAGTGACGCCAAAGTAACCTTGAGAATGTCCACCTACTAACTAGGACTCAATGAGGGTTATAAACTAGTGTGAGGAATTAGAATTGGGATTTACATTTGATGGTTAGGGTTAGGAATTAAATTTAGGGTTTTCATCATGAACTGACATCAGCTAAAATTCGAAAACTCTGTTTAGCGATATAGATGAATAAATTCCACGCCAAAAACTTAGACATGTTATGTTATATCTCGTTGGTTCGTCCATAAATTATATTCTGGCCTTGTTAAAGCACAAAGGTTAATTTCTCCGTGTTGAACAACTGACGTTCTTAAGGTTTAGTAAATGTGTTAATAATAATTAACATGATTAGTCTGTCAGTTACCTCGTCTAACGGCTTACTGTTTAGAGAAATAGGTTGCATTTTAGAGTGGTAAGCGTGATTTTTCCTGAAAACGAGTTTTGAAAGCCCTCACCAATATCTTTTATGGCTTTGTTTACTAAGGAAGAAAGACACATGTCCACAAAAGTACCCTTCGTATGTTGATAATCGGCAGGATTAATGCAAATCTCAATCTGTTTATTCAGTCTATTAGTTCTTGTCTTCTGAGGATTATCTGGGAATATCATGATTGTGGGGAACACTACGTAATTGAAGCTAGATTCAGGAACGAAGGTTTGTCGAACTAGGTTCCCGCCACTCATCGTAAACTAAGACATCCTAGTCGAGGCCTCGTTTTTATTTTGAGTGGTAATTATTGATTAATTTCATAGATCGATGAGGGGTGTTACTTTTAAGAGACTCATTGTTGCACTAGTTTTGATCATAAATTTAAAATATAATTGAGATTTTACCTTCTAGAAGTTTGTAAATACAAGGATAGTTTCTGATATTTTACGCCTCAGTTGCTTACTTGGTATTTTAATAAGAAACAACTTGTCATGTCATATAGTTGGAGGAAAGCTACTTTTTGTAAATAATGCTGGTATTATCATAGGTCGTCGGTATATATATATTCAATCCACATAGTCACACTTTGAGAGTCTGGTATATACGGCCTTTTAATAAGAAATATTATATCGGGAGTGTTGTGTTATGTTTTCAATAAACTCCCAACTGTCACCACTAATGCTTATATGATACATGAGTAACAACAACTGAGATAATTCTGATGGAAACCGATCATTTAGCATTTAATTAGTTCAAATTAATAATCCGTAAAATTGGCCAGATTTAAGGTCAATTTTATGGATGATTAATTTGGATTTATAATTGTAGAACCTGATGAGAAATTATTGAAAAGAATATTCTTCGTTCATATAATTGTGTTTTAATATAATGGGAATTTTTCAGCGATTTAATTAGTGCTCGATAAAACAAAACTGAGAAAACCAAGCAGGTTTCAGTTTTAAATGTAGATGTGCTGACTAGGTCTCTGTTTATCGCTGGGTATTGGATTATAGACATGGTGACCTCACACTGTAGCCGTATTCCTTGATACGAAATGGTGCACTTCTTTCCTGATAAGGAAATCTTTTAATGACTTTTTTTCGAAAGGTTTACCAAGGAAGTACACCAATATACTGGAGGCCCTCCAGTCAAACAGAATCGGTCAAAGTTTAGAGGAAACTGTAATTCAAACTGGTAACATCAAGTAAAGTTAGGGCCGCTCACTTTCATACTTTTTACTTGATTTCGTCAAAAATACTTCTGGAAGTGAGTCTTTCATAGCCAACCTTTTCATGGGTTGATTTCTTACTATGAAACCCACTCGTTTAATGTATACGGGCGTTATATTCTTCCTTGGTAAGCGTGTTTGGAAAATCGGATCTTTTAGATGTCTCGATCGACTATGCAAGCATATCTGCAATGTGTTTCACGACTGTAAGTACAAATTATACTTTAGAGCTTGTCTTCACCAATGTTTGATATAGTTACACACTTCAGCTTGTATTTCATTTTTGGAAATCAGATGCCAGTTATGTACTGAAGTCTGGATTTCGTACTGTTTGATTATTACGATTCGTCAAAGTTGAGTCAGATTTGAATAAATTAACGCATTTTTCCTTGTATACCTTCTCATTTGGCGATTCGTTTTCGGTAATTCAGTTATGAGCAGACTAGGTGCATAATAAATTCTTACATTGGTTATTTTATAACGTTTTTCTGTAAAGGTATTAAACAGAATTACAAAATGCTGATATGGGAATAGTGTGTACGTATATATACATATGTTACGTGGCGTAATTGGTCTCATTTTGAATTACTGTGTAACCTATATTGATAAGAAAGTATGAGAAACATAATTGACAGGAGAATGTGCCTATTTTTTGCTTTAAATTTAGCACATAATTTTTCATAGCTAAATAACAAGTTACGACAAAAAACAGGTCTTTCTGATTGGATATTTGATATTCTAACTAGGTGTTTGATTTTAGTTTAACATTATAATGTTCTAGACTTATTTATCGAATCAGTGATAATGTTGTGCAGTTGAATAAACATATAAATGATAGCCAATAGAATGTATGTGTTTTTTGTCAATGTAATTAAGTTTATAAGCACCAACTGATTATGATACTTCATACTGATTATACCTGGCAACTTATAAAACATTGATGGATAATATAATAAATATTACTTTGTGATGCCAAAATTGGCTGATCAAGTGGATATGTAAGTGGTTACTGTTGAACCATAACATTCTTTTTGTTCGGAATTAAATTAACTTATTAATTCGCTTGACTTCTTTTAGTTGTGTGAGATTGTTTAGGAAAAGGAATTAATTCATTAAAACTTTCTTATTTAACTGTTAAAATCTATATTAAAATGAACCGAACAGGATCGTAGTAGATATTATTATTCACTTACATTGAGATAATCTGAAATTGTGGTACTATTTATTTGACATTAGTTGATTATTAACTTACCTAGTCGATATAAGCTCTGAACATATATACATGTATATCGTTACACAGAACTTCTCTGGTATTGACTATGAAAGCAGGGTATGCATAATAAGCGTTTTCAGATATTTGAATGGTCTGTATATGAACACGTTAGGTAGTGAGGGTATACAACACTCGGTTGCCCGATATTTCCATTTTCCTTCAATGACGTATTGAAGAAAGCTCGGAAGGAAGTACATGTAATTGGTGTAGTTCTGTCACTTTTATAATGACTTTAATTTCGAATATATGGATGACAGTATCATGCTGTTATATGATAAACAGGTTATCTGAATGTCAGTTCTGCACATAAAGTCCTTTCAACTCGTTTAGGGTCTCACTTGCTTAACATGACATCTTTAATATTAACTTATATTAGTGCTATGGATGAGTATTCTATTGTCTGTTTTTCTCTTGTGTGCTTTCAGCCTCATAAATGACTATTTTCAACACGACTTTAAAATTTCTTTTATTTGTTTCAACAAATCTAAATGGACTATACCAATGTCATTTATTATTTAGTAGTGCTTTTACAACCACATGTTTTACTGACTGGTATCCTTGTTATCGTAACTTAGCTAATCCTAACTGTTCTGTTTTGCAGTTTTAAGATGAAAATCATTTTCGGAATTCTCTAACGGCTAATAAAATTTTATTAAATTTTTATCTGATGAATAGTGATTGTACTTAGTCCTTTCTTCAAATCCAAAGTTGATGATTTTAAACCATCCGTTGGTATATTAATTCATTTTAATTTACTACATAAAATATTTAATCTAACTTCATTTGAAAAGTGTTTATTTATGCCCTAAAATAAATAGAAATGAACGAGTTGTAGGCGAACAGAGTGATAAGCTGATATTAAGGCAATAAAATATATCTAAAAATAAGTTTAAGCATTAACTATATGTTCCAAGTGAAATAAAAGAATGTGCCATTTGAACTGTACTTTGACATCTTAGCGTCCCGACTATGAAAATTTGCAGATTGTAACAAGTAAACCAATTCAACTAAGTTTGTTACACAATACTTTATGATTCTCAACATTCGGCCTGTAATATGATAGGGGAAATAATTAAATATATACTGTAACAGCATGTCAGGGAGATTGTCGATAACCCCAATATGTTTCGTTTCGCAAATAAATATGATTTGATGAAACATTCGAACTCAAGATATATTCCTGCATTATTAATAAAATTTACTGTCATTATGAGGTTACGGAGACAGTCGAACTGGACTTGGGACCTTCAGTCGCTCGTGAACGCTTAACTTGTAGACCACTGAACCGAAATCCAATTGTGTACTTCAGTCAGTCCACTGTTCTGAGTGACTATCTTCCACTGTCTTCAGTGGCTGCCTTCCGGTTGCAGTGTTGTGAATACACACTGCTGAGGAGTTGAAGCAACCGTCCAGTGCTACCAGGTTCCCAACGGTTGTGTAACTTAGATCAACTCATGGTTTCAAATAAAAGAATCCATAATGATTGTATTGGAACGTAATTATTTTTCTTTATTAAAACTATAAATAAAGAATGCGTTCATTGGTTTATTTCATGTTATATTTTAGTACTCAATATAATTCAATTCCTAGACAATCTTCAATCCACTTATTTTTTGTGGATGAAAAAATATGAAATTCGGTTACATTTCTTAAGTATAATAGTTAAAATTTGGCTAAAACCTTCAAAATACTGGTATTTTTATTATTTTCAATCTTATCGGTGTTTAATCGTGAAAGCGCATTGTATCAGTTTAGTAGTTAAACGTTTCTAATTTATTGTAGTGCTGCTTTAAAGTGACATTTTGGCTGATACAGTAAATTAGATCAATACACGTTCTGCAGTTCCAAAAATCGCATATCTTCTATTATATCACCTTTTTTTATCGACGTGTTTAAAATGAGGTCTGAGATCTAAATTTTGAAATATGAATAGCATAGATCATGACCTATTTATCAATAAAGTTGCTTTCATTTTTAAATAAAGCTATTTGCACTTTATTTTCAATAAGTCGACTTACCTCGTTGTTGATATCTGACTAAATTTTAATCGCCTTTGGTTGACATATGCACATCCTGTTCGAACTGCCTTGATAGTAAGCATTGTTTCGTTATTTTTTTTAAACAGATGAAATGTGGTTAGTAACGCAATCCGACACGCGAATTTCCTCCTGTTTGAAACTCGTTAGCTAGATGTACCTGCATCTCAGAGCTGACGTCGACTCCGAGATTCAGACACGTCCAGCTGACAAACCATAGATAGGATGAAACGTTTGTCCTGGATTTCACTGCTAATCGTATACCATCTATTATATGAGAAAGGTGATAAATTTTTGTACATTTAGTAGCGAGTTACTACGGAGTGACGAATCGGGGATTATGATAAATCTTTATTTTTTTTTCTCTTAAAGTTATTACTTGATATTGTTGACACGAGCTAATAAAAAGATCTTAAAGGGCTGGCGGGAGAACCGAAGTATACGTGTAGGGGACGAAGAAGATCAGTTACTGAGCCAATATTTCTTCAAAGATAGAATAGTTTTCATATCACCTTACTGGTTTAGATGCGTCTATAGACGGGAAGTTCACCGCTTCTTGAGGCTTTGTTATACGTCCATCAAGGAGTATACATAAAACCTGACAGTGTTATTGAAAAGCATTCAGTCTTGAGATTATAGATCATGTTAGCTTATTTTCGTTAGCCTTCCACGAAGGAATTCAAAGGAAATAAAACTAGTGATTGATTTAAGATCCGTAAAAATGCAGAACTTAGCGACCGAATCACACTAAATTCTTCATTATCTATTGAGTAAATTTATATCATTTTGCTATAAGTAATGGATAACACTAGAAAATCTGAAATAATTTTTCAATTCTATGAGTTCCGTAAATATTAGATGGATGTTCGGCTGTATTTAGTTGAACACTGTACTGAAGTAGCTGTTACAATTATGCATGAAGTTTTTTCCAAATTATCCATAACTATGAGTACCAGACTTAAAAATCCTTGTTTTTAAAATATCTCAGACCTCTTTGTATCAATTCTTCCTAACATTTTGGCACTTAATAAATATCACAGAGCATTTTTCGCCACTTGTTGATGTTTAATTTTCCTCATACAGAAGCTTACAATTTTTATATTCATCTTGGCTTCTGTCCATTGTTTTTTTTCTAAATATTAAAATGATAGTGTCACGAGCTCTGGTCAGTCATTAGTAATATTTCAGATTGTGAGGTTGTAAAATGTCTAATTAAGCTAACAAAATGTTGATTGATTGCAAGGGTGGTAATATATATTTGATTATTCCCTACTGTTACTGGTCTAGTTCTAACGATTAGGTTGACTAATATTTTAGTTAAAATCTGGGAGTTGGAAGTAATCTCATCTGATTGGTCTCAATCACTGATTGTCCCAATATATAAGAAGGGTATTTGAGCGAACAGTTGTTTTCAATAATTTCATCATCAGGCTTTACAGTTATAAGTTCATAATTATGATATTTTACAAAGGGTTACAAAAAGGTTAAAGTCATCCCATGATAACCATAGAGGGATTAGTTCGACTAACATAGCATCTAAAATACAAGACTTAATAATTTTCGGGTGCCTAACAAAGACACGTGAACTGCAAACACGAGAAAATCAGGTTGGCTTCAGACCTGATCGTGGCTGCATAGACCACATATTCACCATTCGTCAGATTCTAGAACACAGACATGGATGTTGGCGTCCGATAACAATGGTTTTGTTTCACTTAAAAGTAGCATTTTACTTTGTAGATCGAGAGGCCCTGCGGCAGTGCTTGCCATTGAAAGACGTACCTCAGAAGCACATAAACCTTGTTAAAGCCCTTTACTCGAACACTACTAGTTGAGTCAGGGTTTTTGGGGAACTGTCATCTGCTTTTGCAACCTCAAGTGGTGTCTGTCAAGGCCGTCCACTTTCCCTATTTTGTTCAGTTTCATTATAGACTTACTGTTGGAAACGACAATTTTCGGGCATCAATCTCCTTCCAGGAGGTCCACTTATCGACTTAGAATACGCAGATGACATAGTTCTGTTTGGTGAAGACGCTGATAAAATGCAGTCTTTTGGTGGCACTGCGCAACAATGTCAGGCTGTTTGGAATGCGCTTCTCCCTCTCTAAATGCAAGTTGTTGCTCCAGAACTGGTCTGCGTCAACACCTGAACTAAGGATAGGGAGTGAAGTAGTTGAACGCGTCGACAACTTCACGTACCTTAGAAGTCTGATTAGCCCTAATGTGTTGGTGTCTGACGAAGTGTCAGCACGGATTCGAAAAGCTCGTTTGGCTTTTGCCAACTTACGTCACCTATGGCGAAGGTGAGATATCCGTCTATTAATTAAGGGACGGGTATACTGTGCGGCAGTTCGTTCTGTTTTAATTTGCGGCTGCAAAACGTGGTCATTAAGGGCAGAGGGCAGACGTAAGTTACTAGTATTTGATCACATATGTCTTAGAAATATTGTTCACAGTTTCTGGGATCACTGGGTAGGTAATAATGAAGTTAGACGCAAGGTATTAGGGAATGATGATAAATCAGTTGATGAGGTTGTGAATCTTCATCGACTGAGATGGTTGAGCCATGTATTACACATGCCCAGTCACCGACTACCACAGCTCACAATGCTAATCGGTGTCGGGGATGGTTGGAAGAAAGTTAGGCGCGGCCAAATCAAAACGTGGCATCAGTGATTGAAGTGACTAACTTCTGGTCTGAGCTATGTTGGTGGATGCAGGCTACTAGGTTAGGGTCCGCGTAAATATCGTAACCAGTGGTTAAAGACTCTGGGTGACATGGTTCAGAATCGACCACAATGACCTAGAAGCATATCTCGAATCATCCTAATCAATTCTTTTTAGATGGACAGTATATATATTCAAGTTTTAGCTGACATGAACTAAGCCATAGCACATGGAAACATGATGAAATTGTAATTTATTGCATAATCAAATGCTGACAATGAAAAATCAATAGATTTTGAAATTACCACAATGTGTTATAAATCAATGTTAAACCAGTGCTGAATTGACTTCTTATTGATTTTTAATATCAAACTAGTTGTATGGATTTAACTGGCTAGTGTTAATCAAACTTGTTAAGAAAGAATTAAGTTTTATAAATAAAAAGATATTTTTCATTTTACTTAATAAGTTAATAGAAACTCTGTTATTATTTCTAGTGTCAGTATTCAATAGTTAATTTTCTATGTTATCATTGTACGTGAATCATTCAGTAAGCTGAGTAATTACTACATACATTACTAACATATATTCATACATCAATATAATATAGCTCATTATGAATATGTAGATAATTTTTTTATATGAAGACATCGTTTTTAAACATTTTATCAAGTGACATATTCAAATTACTTAGCTAAAGTCAAATTAAACTAATATTCTCATGTGTTAAGCATTGAGAAAGCAGTTCATTTAAAAAGCTTTAGCTTAAATGTAGTCAAAAGCTAAATACGTTAACTGTACAGTGTATAACTTGGACGTCAAATAGTACTGTTTCAACAACAACAAAAACTTAAGGTACTTCAGGTTTAGTAAGATAATTATGTTGATGAGCGCTAGTAAGTCCGAAACACATCTATAGATGATGAAATGTTTACATTTTGTTTCATATTCTACAAAAGTCAATGAAAGTGTTATACATTCTAATGATTATATGTTTTTAAATTACTAACTGATAAAAACTCTAAAAGGAACTTAATTCACATTAAGGAGTTACATTAAAGTGTAATCATTTAAACTTCTTTCTTTTTCTAAATAATTTTATTTTAATTTCAATGGTTAAGATCATAAGTCAGTTGAAGCTAGACCACCGTGGAAAACCTGAAAGCACTGAACGGCCGTTTCGTCCTATTGTGTGAATATCGAAAAATAGACAACAAACACTTACTGCAGCTGAATTACATTTTTCTTAAACATTTTACTAAAGGATTTTTGAAAAATTCTGCTTGAATTCAGTGAACTACCAAAATTTAATCATTCTTATTTGATAGTGAAACTATTCAACAACACATACATCACATTTCATGAAATATTAACTGTCATTATCATGATCATTGAAATAATCTGCAAAATCTTTGTTGATAATCAATATCCTCCCATACAGAATTAAAGTATACCGTTACACAATGGTAATTTATCCTAAAAATATCGAGCACAGATTTTTCTACATGTCTTCAGTTCTGAATCTGTCTTCCTATCTGGTTGATTATGAGCTGTAGATTTTCATGAATGTATGAATGAATAATAGTATTTTATATTATCTAATAATTTATATTGTTCTTTTGGTTGGAGATACTTAGGTTTTAGATGGTGGTTGGAGGTAGCCGACAGGAAACCGTGGACCCGGGTTTCGTGCTACTTGGCACTCGTCAGTATGGTGTACCTGTAATCTTGAGGGAACTGGTGCTCCGTGGTGGATTTGATCCCGAGGTCAGTCGCGGCCTGGATAGCTCAGTGGTAACGTCTCTGACTGTGAAGCTGGTTGACACGGGATCAAATCCGCCGGGGAGCACTAGTTCCCTCAAGATTACAGGTACATCTTGCTGACGAGTGCCAAGTAGCACGAAACCCGGGTCCACGGTTTCCTGTCGACTACCTCCAACCACCATCTAATCTCAAAATATAGTGCACTCATTGTCGAGTCACCTAGACTGGTGGCCACATTTCAACATGGTCTATAGCATTCGATCTACACTAAACAGGGACTTGACACGCATGACATTGATCACCATCCAGTGATCAATCAATTGTGAATATTTAGGTTTTAGTCAATATGTTGAAGATTCACGATTATTTACCAATTCGAATATTCCTATTATAATAGCCATAAAATATAATCTAAGCAGATATGTATTTTATATAATTTCCCCATCAGGCTTTACAATTAGAATTACAAATATTTATTTCGAACATTTGTGGTTAGTACATTTGAAGTACACATAAATAAACAAGTGGGCAGGAAATTTTATAATAACTATGATACAGCCACGTAAGTTCTTATACGGTCACTGTAGTTTTGTAAGGAATTTGTGTGTATTTGGGAGGTAGAGAAAGAGTCTTTAGGTACAATTAACAAAATGAATACTCAAAGAATGATGATAAACAATATTAGGAATAAAAATTATAAAGGTACACATGAAAATAATATGTACCGTTGTCTAGGATCGTGTATGATTAATGTTATAGTCCAAATGTAGGTTGACAGCATGTGTAGGACGATGAAAAAGAAATTTTCATGTCTATGAATTTGTTCCGAAACGTATAAGTACAAACTTCAAACGCACTTTTATATGATGAGGAATGCTAAGCACTATGTTCACCAAATCGGTTAAGATTGGACTTCTAATGGATCTAGTTGGTTCTAACAACACACTAAATAAAGCTGCTGTATGCTTGTCGCTGGCTTTATCTACATAGCTGTTTACTTAAAGGAGGTTAAACACCTGGGTACAAATGAAAAAACTTGGGATTTTTTAAAGAATCGCAATATCTTCTTCAAGTTACCAGTATTAGTTTTAGGAGGAAAACCTTGTCGAAAATCAAAACAACTCAATATCAATTAGTTATTACTTTGGTTGTATTATTTATTTTTATTGAAGGTTAGAAAAACTTCTATGTATTCATTGCATCAAGAACAAAGGGTGTTCTGTTTGTTATTCAACATAGCTCAAATTTACGTCATAAAAGAATCAGTTTATTTTTATTGTATCTAGTAAACTGTTACACATAGTGGATGTTTGGTAAGGTGAACAACACTTGTTTATGCAGGTTGAACTTATGTACTGTTTAGTCATCATTTCATTCAGCTCTCATTTTTTGCACTCGATTGTTAGTGAAACTAATATTAAATGTGTGATATTCGATTGTTTGAAGGGTTCTAGCTAAAAAATTGTTTAATTAGTACATTTTTCACAAGTATTACATCAATGAAAGGCATCAGCAGGGAACTTTTAAGTGAAAATCCCATTGATATATAGACTGTGTATTTAATATCATCTTCTCCATAACGAATTGATCTACAACTATAGTAAACAAACGGAAGCGAAGAACACGGAACAACAGAAGCAACAATTACTACGATGTGCCATTTAGGCCTACCTTTATACATATGTCAGGTCATTTTATGATTTACTGTGCGTATTAGATATTAGTCACGGACAGATTGTGGCAAATTATCCCAGAGTTTGGAAAATATGCTGGTAACTTATATATGTTTGGTTCAGTTTTGTCAAAAATTTGAACTACTACTACTCTTGTGAGAAATGGAAACATTCAACCAGCAAAATGCCTAATATATTAGTTGAATAAAAAGGTAGATATGGACAATAAGTAAACCATTTGAAAGAGTTAGCGAAGCCTTTATCTTCTTAGACTGTTAATTTTTTTAAAAATACAAGTAAACTTTGAGTCAAGGCTTGATTTAAGTTTCTTTATTTGGGTTTAGATGTTGTTAAGTAAACATGACATGCTTCAATGAGGTAAAGCCCAACTTGAGTAGAGTATGAATCCAGTACACGAATGGGATAACTTCATGTTCTTCGTATTAATAATCTTCTGACAGATTTCAAATTAGTTTTATTTGTGTCACGTTTCGCATACTGCATCGTAATGAATAACCAGGATAAAAAGAAAGGAAGAAATAACTGCTTCGCAAATTCTGTCATTTTTATGCTGAGGCACTCATTCATAAACGACATGCGAGGTTTACGTCCTCGTGTACTAGTGTTTAGTGAAGTAAGTCTTTAGGTTTATGATCATACAAGGTTGATCGCTACATTAATACTTACAAGTAATATATATAATGCATTGACTAATTTTTCTTTGGGCATGATAACAGCTCATTCAGACTCAATATTAATCAGACTACTCCTTACACTAATCATACCTTTACTCAGTGATATACTCGTATAAAGCGTGTGTAACTCGATGCTCTTACCTTTTAGGTTTACAGTCCACCAAACCAGTACACTTAACAGTAACCGATACAATGAGCTTAAAAAGATTTTCGCACTGGCACTACCTACCGTAAGTTTATAAATGAGCCTTTTTTGTAAGACACTACCTCATTTCACAAAATATAAGGAAAAGTTTCTCTAGATATTTGTTACCCATTTAATCTTGATCTAGCTTCTAGGTGGTGTATGAGCTTTTAGCAAGAAAAAATCAATATTATGAACGCGGTTTTCCCATTACTTTTATCTTCAAACCACTGAATTAATTTAAAAATTATTGAGGAACGAAGTGGGTAGCATAATTCGAAATAGGGTTGGTATTTACATATAGATTTGTACATGTATGAACAGGCGTCATATTTCGTAATGTTTGGTGCTTATATCATAATAAACTGGATAGAGTTGGAAACAGTAAGCATTAGAAAATTCTTCTATAATAAAGACTAAATGCATAGTCAGAAGAGAGTTTGAAGCTTGTTTGATTGTGTTGGTGTCTACAGACCATGCATCATGACATCTTCCTAACTGAATACACGTTTATAGGTAACTACATGGATCAATATACGTGACGACATGGTAAATCTTCATTAATAGATAATATATGTTCAGTCTTTCAACCACTGTGGTCTACGTTAATCAATTACACAATCAAAGGTTAACGTAATACATAAATCAGTGGGAATCCAAATGTATATTAAGATAACAAAATATTTATGGACAACCAATCACTAACCGGGTCATCAGAATATATTGATTTCACTGATAATATTGTTCACAATGATAATGAAAGCTTTGCGATTAAATAACTCGGTTCAGAAAAATAAAACATCATGAAATACATTCAGTTACGCTACAGGTTTCCTATACCACTTCACACTGGATATTAGAACGCAGGTTAAAAGTTTCCATTCCACAACATGAGTTAGTTACAAGATAAATGAAATTTGATTGATGATGGTAATCTTTAAATATATCAAATGGCATATGGAAGATTGGTAAATGGATGAACTGTAAGTATACAGTTATACCAGAAAAATAGGTCTTACATAGAAGCGGAATTCACAAAACAACACCAGCAGCTCATCATCGTGCATTTATGTTAATCAACAGTTTTGTTTGCCAATATCTATTTAATTATAATTTCATAGTTCTAGAACATATTCTTGATATGATCTGAAGAACAAATCCAAACCATCTAAAACGTTTCCAGTTGATCCTGCTTACGATTTAAGTATTGGGAAGTGGAAATTTCAGTTATTTATCCAAAGTTTTCACTTATTTATATATTTTCCAGTGGATATTTTGATCTAACTAAATTATCACAAAACTTCCAGAGTATAATGACTTTAAGAAAGAATTACTTAAAATGCCTTTATCTGAATGCTCTTTAGAGTTTTCTTTTACTAAACATTGCATACTACTAATAAAGTTTTAAAGAAGACGGATAAGTAATGTGAATCAGTTCATTAGGAGTATATACATCATAAATAAATTTAAAATATAATATTCACATTAATCTACATCCTATTATTATTTAAATTTCAGAAACATAAACTGAATTTTGTAGTTCTCTTGAAACATTTCTTTTGTTCAGATGATTTCACAACTCTTACGCTTCACTAATCCTTCAATCAGTGTAATGGTCTGTGGACATTTAAGTCGAGAAGAATTAGACGCTTCATCGTTGGCTAACTGTGTAAGTTTAGCCATCTTAATTGTAATTTTTTTGTATCAGTCAAAACTTTGCCTTACATAAAATGTTTACCTTTTCCATAATCTCTAGGATTTTCTTTATTGTTTCTTTCATTAACTATCATCTCACAACATGATTCATGATTACTCAAACAAATTAACTACTGTTTATATTTTTTAATAGTTGAGATCATGAATTAGTTGAAGCTAGACCACCAAGGACAATCTGGGAGCACTGGACGGCCGTCTCTTCCCAGTATAGGACTCCTCATCAGTGCGCACCCACGATTCTGTCGCGAGACTCGAACCCAGGACATATCGATCTCGCGCACGAGCGCCTAATCTCTAGACCACTGGGCCGGCATCCAACGGTGTTAATGTCTAATTTCAACCAATCCACGTAATTGAATGATACACCCAGCATTGTCTTCAGTGAGTTACTATCTCACAACAAACCCGGTTGAACTTCACTAGTCACTGCTTCTCACTAGAACTCCAAGAAATATCTCTTGAAGTCAGTCACTAGTGAGCATACGTTGATTAGTATCAGAATGGGTTTTGTGCATATTATAGTAATTTTAATAGTTGGGATCATGAGTCAACAGAACGAAACAGTCATCCAGTGCTTTCAGGTTTTCCATGATAGTCTAGCTTCAATTGACTCATGAATTCAACTAATAAAATTATTATAATATTCACAAAACCAATTCTGATACTGTTTATTTAAAGATAAATGAATAAAATGTTTACAACTATCAGCTTAAACTTATAAAGATATTTGAAAAACTTATCATTTTGATTGATAACTAGATTTAAATGAAGAATGTTGATATTCTAGAATCATTTTGTACAAATGAGTATTATCTTTATTAGTAAACATTTCAATTTCATACAAAACATCATTCTCTATATAAACTTTATCATAAAGTAAAATTAAATAATTGGACTTAAATATTTATGAGTAAAAATTGAAACTGAATCATATCGGATAGATTTTGTAACTATGATAGTTAATAAAGTATGATTCATTAAAAAAGAGCATAGTTATGAATGTGATTGATTGATTTCAATTGTTTAAATAAACTAAAAATTGTGTAATATCATACATTATATTGTTACTATAGTAATAATATTTCTTAAAATTATTTGAACTTTGGATAAGAATAGTGCAGTTTTCAGAATATATCTAATAAAATAATTCAATAGGCATGAAATCATATAGTTTTAATTTATAAAAATAACCTTTGGATGTTATTCTTTCTTTTCTTCTTTTATTTTCTTTTCAAATTATCATTGTTTATTTTAAATTTTTTTATTATTATTATTTCAGATAATCAATATTTTTGGTTTAAGCATTGATACAGGATTTTCAAGTGCCTGTGATACACTTTTCTCTCAAGTCAGTAGTCATTCTTGATTTAAAAACAAAATATTTCAATTTTCTATTCACTTTTTTATTTATTAAAAACAACTGAAAAGAATTTTTTTAATTTTCAGTATGATGATTAATAAAAAAAATCATGGATTGCTTGAAGTTAAACATTTACACGGTTGGATGACTGTTCAATGGTCTAAAGATTAAGCGTTCTCACGATAAATAGGAGGTCTTGGGTAATAGTTATCTGTGTGGGATTGTGAATACACACTGCTGAGGAGTCTTGTACTAGGACAAAACAACCGTCCAATGCTTCTGGGTTTATAGTAGTAGTTTAGCTTAGATTGACTGATGATTTCAACTGTGAAAATCCTATAATAATCTGGAACAAATTTTGATCTGAGCAAATTTTTTCAAAGATTCATCATTGTAAATTATTTATTGATGTGTGTTGTTTTTAAAGTTCGCAACGTATGATATACCAATCGAATGATTTTTTACTTCATACTTAACTTTCAAACTGTGGAAATGGTTAAAATGTATTATTTAATGTATGTACGACCTTAAGCTCTATCAACAGTGATTATACGTCCCATACGTTGACTGAAACGGAAGTTATCAAAATGAATAATAAATGTCAGAAAAATATTGTGAGAGATCTGGTAATAGGTCAAGATAAACTATGAACGTTTGCTTTGTGTTATTTGCTAGAACATGTGTCGATAATTTTTAATGAGAATCACTTCGACAGTTTTCCATAAAATCGTATTATCATGTTGTTTTAATCTAGAAACTATCAGTGTTGTTTTCTACACTCCACAGTATAATCTAACTTTAAATTCTGTTCATTGCTATCTTGCTTGGTAAATTGGACTATAGTTTTTGATTAATATATTTATATTTAACTTAAAGACTAAGTAACAATGTTGATAAACACTTGCCAGCCAACACGTTTGTTGCTAATCTTCCTGTTAGATAGGTACCGTTGTTTGGGTATTATTCGTGGGAGTTTTAATGGATTTAAATAAATATTTCTCAGTTTAAGACATTTTTGTTTATGAATACACTTGGATATAGGGTGGTTGGAAACAATCAGTTGGAATCTGTAAACCTAGACTTATTACTAGTTGATATGTTTCGACTTGGAGGAGTCTTCACTCTCCAGAAAATTAATGTTACTCACAGCACTATAATCTGTCCACAGTCAGAAATAAATCCAAGGAGTAATTGGGAAAAAAGGAATATCACATGAATTATAAACTGAGGCTGTGTGAAAAATGAAGACTGGTTGTAACCTATCGTAGACTGAAACCAAGTTTCATTTGATGGATAATTATAGGTTCTATCGTTTTAAAACGTTGAACTATGAATTATATGAAGAAATTCTATCCACAATCTTAAAGTTATTGTGTGCAATGTTAATAAGTCTCAAATAAGGAACTATTTACTACTACATTCCCTGCTCGATGAAATTATATAAGCACGTACTCATGTATAAGAGTTGAGCGTAATACTAGTAACAATTAGTGTACTTTGATACTTGAGGAATAGATATAGGACAGATGAAGCAACTAAATATTCATTTCTCCTAAGATCAATCTGCTATTTATAAAGACTACTTTAGCTTGTACCTGTAAAACATTTTCTAATCCTTAAAATTTAGATTTCAATACAGGAACTTCCAGTAAACAACTTTTTGACATTTTTGTTTGTGGTCTATAGATTACATTGATCAATAGACGCCTTAAGTATCTATTTTCGACATTTTGCCAAGAAAGATTTCTTTTAATTCACTTTGTATTGTTTGTTTGAATCTTGTTATTGATGCTTAGGACTGCAATTGATCAGTTTCTTATTGGCATATGTTTATCCTGTGAGGATTGCCTTAAGTCACAGGCATTATAATCAAAGATGGATGGTGGCTAGCAGTAGAATCTAAGACGCGCGTTTCGTCCTATATGGAACGCGTCAGAAGGATGTGCCTGCATCCCAGGCTATTAGGACCCAGTAGCTAAGTGGATAACGCGATTTCGTTTAAAGTGAACGGTACCGGGTTAGAGTCCCATAGTGAACATAACTTCTGAGATGTTGGTACATTCAGATGACGAGTCCCAAATAAGACAAAATTCCACTGCTAGCCACCATCCATCTTCGTGTATAAAGTTTTCTTTTGCTGCAAAACGGTCAGTAATAAAATTATCATGAGCTCGAGCACATTAAAAGTGAACCAAGTTTATCCTTCTCTTATGACAAGCATTTAAATATAGAAGTTATTAAGCTAATGATCTCATACTAATCTATTTCAAGGGTTTATTAATGATACGAATAAGAACAAAATGTATAATAACGATTCTTTTTGAATAAATTTCAGTTTTGGGTTTTGAGTCTTAAATGAATGTAATTTGTCAAATAGTGTTTCCATCGAAAACAAAAAGTTTCTAGTCACCATGACTTATATACTAACCTAAATGTTTCACAAATTGACAAGGTTAACTGGAGTAGAATACGCTGTCGACAACGCTCTCAAAATTATTTAACCGAATTTTTTTGTTTTGACCACATGCTTGTTTATTACACTTCGAAACCTAGTCATATTTTAGCCCACCAACTAGACTGTGATTGGCACTGATTGGTCAATTTACCCAAAGTATGTTGTCAAGCCGTTGACCTATATCAGACAATAAATGAGTTATTCTGCGTCTGAGACAAATGAAATTGTAGTAATTATCTGTTTGATGTGATTTTTATATTTTTATTTATATGTTTTTGACATGTCATTTCACCGCTGAATTCAAACTAGTGATACTAATGTAATATATGCGTACAGTCATCTGCACATTTTACATTAAATTACATGATCACATGATTACTTTACATGATCCATTCGGCGTTGTAGCAAAATGAAAGTTGTATATTAAATTTGTGATGAAATTAATAACAGTTTACAGGTGAATATTGTATTTCATTATGTAGCACACATGGTAAAATTATATGTAATTACGATTGTACGGTACAAGAAAATGCCATTTTCCGAAAGAACATTTTCTTCACTGAAACGTCAACATTCTTTTTATTGTTTATCTGTTCCCGTGATTTAATGCTGTAGTTAAACGACATGTCTGTTAAAATTTTTACTTGTTGCTGATTAGGTTAATTTGTTTCTAGGCAAACTAATAATTATGATCATGATAAACTCGTACGTATTATTGATGAGCTTTTCAATTTTATCCGATTCATTCACATATACAGTGTATTGACAATTGAGATCTTATAATACACAATTTTGACATTATACTTATTTCATCTGTGCAACAGTTGACAAATGAACAGTTTTAAATGGTTTCTATTTTTATCTAATTTATATGTCTGGTGACTCAATTGACATTATTTAAACCATATTCGAATTTGTTTTTGGCGGTATAACCAAAAAATGACTACACTTAATTAAGAAAACTAGGTCTTGTAAATAAATGAGTGATGATAATAAAAACTACTATTCTTTTAATTTAAGTATTCAGTGTCATATCTTTAAATCTTTATTTAAGTCTAGTAATGATTATCATTATATTATTTGGGGTCTAATAACACTGACCAATAAGTCTGTAAATCCTTAAGACCTTCTTGTTATTATTATTTAATAAAGCTACATCAAGTTGAAGTTTTCAAGATTTAAACATTATAATCATATAATAATATATCCTATGATATAACCTGATAATAGTTTTAAAAATAGTATTTGTAATAATCTCTTGTCTAAACACGTTCAAATGTTTTTTTTCAGTAGAGTAAGACTATAAAACGTGATAGATCAAAGGAACTCTTTGGATAGGTAAACAATGTATATAACTCCAATTCATTTTCAATAACATTAAAGCACACTATCCTGCTATTGCTTATCACTGCATAGGTCTATATGAATAATTTCATCGTATATACTATTACCTTGTTAATAGCCAAAACAATTATTATGTCCGCATCCAATTTTCATTAGTAAACAGTTAACCCAGTAGCATAGAAGTTACATACCATCAATTGCATGAATTCATAATTAATCAAAGTTGGTTACTTCAAGAATTTATTTTTCCAAAGAGATGAGCTGACTGAAACAACTGTTTATAAACGCACGATTGGAGCTATCCAATGAAAATGAGGCATTATCCATGGAGCTTACTCAACTAAATTTCAATAAAAAAAGGGTGGGTGTTAGTTCAACAGTGACTACATAATTGGCCTGGATCACATAGTACGAAAGTCAGGTCGAACCAATGAAATAATTAGTTTTTGAACAAAACTGTAAAGGTAGAAATGAATATTGAATTGAAAGGAGATACGGATAACAAACTCATGAGTAAACGGATTTCAAAATCCCTGAATAAAACCTTATATTCAGCTAAGCTCCACGTTGTCATATCAAGTCATCTAAACATTCACGAATATGTTAAGGATAAACTTCCGCTTTAGGCCACATCAATGTGCATCTATAAATTTACTTGCTTCTTAGAGGCAGATTACATCAGACACATAAAACAAGTACATGATTTTGTCGAAAAGAAAATTTCTTTTGGCCAATTCTCTTTATTTTTAAATTTTTTCCTCACCAGCCTTGTATGAAATTTTTCAACCAGGAACATCTGTCTACCGTAATCTGCTTGAAAAGTATTCTATTATTTAAATGACCTATTATTCGGCAAGTTTTATTCACAAAAAATAAAATCAGAGTACTGAAGTCGACTGAGGTATCTCGTAACGTTTTCAGTGGATATTGAATGTGTTGTATCCAGGGCATTCGGAAATTTTTCCGTTCCTTTGGTGGTGGGATTTTGTTTAAAGCCCTTGAAAGTTATTTGTAAGTCTTATAAATACATCATTTTATCATAGGCCAATATGTCGCATAAAAAACACAAATATAGTAAAAGTTAGGGCTTAAAATGAATTCTCTAGTTTTAATGGCACTTTAATTATGAAATAATAAGTGGACAGAAGGGTGACCAAGAGTGCTGGAGATAACTTGTCTCCTAAACACTGGGAACATTATAGATAATTTCAGCATATAAATCATATATTAACATTTAATTTTTCATTACAAGTAGAGGATAAAATGGACACAGTGATATCCCACCTTTAGCCTACCCAAATTTACTCTCTAGTTTTTAAGAGTTGAAAATTTTCTGTGCTAGTCTGTATTGATCATTATTTTGATAAATCGATATTTTAACGAAAAACCACAAACTAGTCGGATTTAATATTTTATCATCTACAATAGTCAACTCTTTTACTTTTTGTAGAGTCAATAGTTTTATAGTGGACAAGAACTCGGGCGGGGCAAACCAATTCATTGTTTAATGTGAAATCACATATTAGCTTAGTAAAATATGTAAATCACACATTAGATACGTCATTTACACATCTAAGCGTTGTCCTTTACATATTTTATTGTTCCTCGAATTCTGTTGTTCTTTCGACTGCTCTCAGATTTCCTTCCTGTTCTTCTGATTTCAGTCTTCTGCTCCCAGGCATTCCATTTTCAACTGATGCTAAATACTATTACTATCTGTCAGCATAAGTACCATGTACAACAGTATCATTTAGGTTAGTATATATATAGAGTGAAGTTTTAGAAACTAATAGTCAATTAAAGGTTTCATATACTTTTCTTTAAGTGATAACACTAGTTGAAACGATAAACAAACGTAAAAAAACCAAAATTTTGTTGTTTTTTTGGTAAAAATTGTTCAAAAGTGGTAAAAATTAAACTATTTTACTAATGATCTTCCAGTTTTTTTAACAAGTTGGTAGACTTCTAGAATAACAATCGGTATTGTTTGTTCGGCATTCGAACATTTGATAATATTCATGAAAACATGTATTTCTTTTTCAATCTAACGAAACTACAATCTAAGTGTGTAATATTTATTCATGATGACTGATTCACAAACGACCAAGTGCTGAAATTATCAATATTAATAACCAGTTGGAAACCATTGAGTAAGTTATGGAGTTCTAATGATTTGAACTTACTACGGATGTTCAGAAGCTGAGATTAGTATATTTTTAGTTGGATTATGTATTTTATTGACAAATCGTTATCTACGATGCTAAGGAAAATGACTTTAGACATATAATACTGAAGAAAAAGTTTAGTACTAAATGATATCACTGACAGAATGCTGCATTTCACGTCATTGTGGTAATTCTGTACTCAAAACGATTTTAATTTATTCTGAAAAGAAATTTTCACATTCATTTCAGACTATATATATGAAACTGTGTTGTTAAAATTTCCATTTTTCCAATGTTTAGGCATATGGAAGTCGCAATCGTGAACTCATAGGGACACTGCTTCAACGAGGTAATATCGAAAAAATTTGCATATATGTATAATTACCTTAAAATATTTTCTCAATTTATACAGCTTTATGCGTTGTATGTCTAATGTACATGACATTGGTGTGCATACATTTGAATATTGAAACAGTATTACTATTACTTGGTCAAAATCCTTTAACTGCATCGTGAGTCTGTATTTATTTGATTCTTTTGTATTGCCGTAAATATTAAAATGGATAATTAGTGTTTAATGTCCAATCAATAGTTTTAATAGATTAATTCTTTGCACAGATTCTATACGATTAACTTTACATTCGTGAATAAAACTGTAATTGATCATTTTAGTAATCGATAATCAAATTTCCAACTATCTCTATAGGTGATGCTATTATTCTAAGTTTTACCGGAATAGTTTCAAGCTTTGTATATGTATGATATAAAAGAAGTCCTTATGGTTGTTAGTTTATACAGTCAAAGTGTTCCGTGTTTCTCCATATATATTCAGGTATATTCAGTTATTCCATACAACCTTTCCCATCTGTAAACGTTAATAAAGAAAGAACAAATATTGTAGCAGAATAACATGAATTCATTTATTTCCTGGATTCTCCTAAAACCACAGTATTGATCATTAGGACAAACCTACATACTTTATATTAGAAACGTCTAGAATAAACTGAGTTAAAGTGTATTGATAGAATAATATTATGAGACCATAATACGGTAGAACTAAAATTGCTCAGACGTTCGCTCATCTATGAGTAAACTGTATGGATATTTTGCACGAGTATGGACTAAAAAAACATTTTTCTTCTCGCAAACTGGCTCCTGTTAAACCAGTTATATTGGATGTACAATTCGTCAAGCTCTTCATCGCATAGCAGAACACTATCCGTCTTGGTTGAGAAAAGGACAGATACGATTGGTTTAGAGTTCTATTTTCGTTCACTTCATACAGCTGACTTGAATAAAGCGTTTAAGGTTGTACAGCATATTCCACAACATTTATCACATGGGTTACGAGTTCGTCTTTTGCACAATACTGAAGCTATCGGAATTTTTGTTCTTAAACCTAACCTTTGCACCCAAAAGAAGTTAGTGCAACCTTTCTCACTACCTTGGCCATCGGTATGGGAGTGGGTTTTAGCTCAAATTTGTTTAAGATCCTTCCTTCAAAAATACTCAGACAATTTTCTAGTTTCTTCTTTTTTTGTACATTACATATTCTCAACATTTCTCTCTTGATTCTTACGTAACCACTGTAATACTGAACTTTCACCAAAATATTTTGATAGTCCTTCTATATATTATGCAATGTAGCAACCACTTGATTTGGCACGTACATTTAAACTAATAAACACAATTCGATCTAAAGGTATGTGGGTAATCGTCCACATTTGATTGTTACAATGAGCATTAGGCACTTAGTCTAAAATCATTTCTTCCAGCTATTCAATTACCTTTATATCTAAGTTCTAAGAAGAAAGACTTTTTCTTAACCGTAGGATATTCCATTTCCATTTGTCTGGTTGTTCAGCATTTACATATGGATTTTCGCCGACAACAGTTCTCATGTAAGCAGGGTTTAACTGTGGCCAATTCCACTTTAAGTCTATCCACAGAGCATAATCTGCGTACATGGTTGGATAGCGTTCTAACCAAAGCTATTTTGTGGTTTGTCGTACAGGAGTTATGTAAGTTTAAGTAGATCTCACACCAGGTGTCATTTCAATAAATATGTCCTTCTAATAGACCATTTGAATTACATTTAATACCAAGATCTAGGAAATGAGACATGTTTTCATGTTTACCTTCCATTTTAAATCTAGTGATAGGGTGTGCTCTGTAGAAAATTTGTAGTACACGAGAAGCATATTGAGAATCATTATATGAAACAAATGTATCGTCTACATAACTGACGTACAATCTTGTGTCAAAACAGTTTTTCTAGGGTATCTACCAGGATTGAACCCAGCTGACTGCCCATGGCCACCTCATCAACTTGACGCCGAAGGATATTGTTGAATCAAAATTGAATGTCTTTAGCGCATACTAGTATTAATTCCTTGAATTCGTCTTTCTGTAACGGAATTAGTTTATCATGTTGACATATGATTTGTGTGGTTTCTTCTGGTTTGATTGGGTAAATAATGATGATATAACAAATGAAACCATGAATTCATCAAAAACATCAACATTTCTCAGCATATTAGTAAATTTAAAAGTGTCTTTTAAACCATGGATAGAAAACTTCGAGTGAATAGGTTCTAACTGATTCGCTAACTACTTAGCGAGTTTGTGAGATGAAGAATTGATCATCGTTAGGATAGAGTTAATAAAAACATCAGATTTCTGTATTCTTGGCAGTCCACATACGTAAGGCAATCTGGATCACTTTATATGTTTAAATATTAAATGAGTTCCCCTTCAAATGTTCCTTTAACTTTTTTGTGATACGTCTTCCTGTTGTTTTTTGGGCAGTCAACTAGGAAGCTAGCAGAGTCATCTAGAATCGCCTTAACTTTGTAAACCTAGTTTTCTTTATCCATTAGAACGACACTGGAACCCTCATCAGGTTTGACAATTATGGATTTTTATTATGCATTAAGATTTTCAAGGCTGTTTGATGTTTTTTATATAAATCTGTTGGCTGTGGTATTTGAAATTTTATGTATTGATTGTCAATATAAACGAATAAAAATTTTAGTCTACCTTGTTTGTCTTCATCGATTGTTTTCAGTCCCGACAAGTGTTGATACAGGTTCCCAAACTGAGTTTCTGTAACGATTCTGCCAGTGGAACATGAAATTTCAATTCGAGTGAAAGTCTTGATTCGACCCAAGTCACTGCTTGACATGTTGCAAATAATTTTTTCGAGATTTTCCGGAGTACCCTCAAATAATTATTCTTCATCACAAGTTATCATGAACTGGAAACCCTTGAAAATTATAAAACTTGGGACAACTTTCCTACATATATTTAGGGCTACTTAGAAGTATTTGAAGACAATCCGATAAGAAGTGAAACGTGGAACATTAATATTCCGTAGCGATCATGGTACTTTTAGACCATTATATCAGGTTCCATGGGTACGATTTTTTAATTTTGGTCTGTTTAGGATACATACCATTCTATTCTAATGAAATAATACTTGTATGCTCAGTTACACCAAACGCTTGAAGAGGATTTCAGAATTTCGAATGGAAAGCTGTAACATGTGAAGTAAACAAAAACTGAAATCCAAGAGGCAATTAAATGACATTTGATAAGGATGGTATCAACTTACAAACAGGCCGAAAATGTGAACTACTCGGTATCGACAGAATGGTTCAAAGTTGCCGTGCTTGAATTGGACCAATGAGGCTTTTGGTTTAATTTCAAGCATAATCTTTGACGTTTACAGCCTAAGTGTTCAAAACCAATACAGAACAGACGTATTTTGTGGTTTCCAATAGTCTTAAGATCATGAGGCATCATAAAAAACCCTTATTCTGAATACAAAGAAATATTGTTCATTAGTTTTTAAAGCAATTTATAAAAGTAGAGGATGCTAGTTATGATATCTACAAATAAATACTTATATATACCCATGTAATGTTTTCTATTACACTTCATTTAGCCTTACATCAGAATATATTGCATACTTTTTGCCTGGTCTTGGGGTGAGTAATGTATGGTAAAAAAACAATTGATCCATGGTATTTTATTATCGTATAAATCGACTTAATACTTTTATATTTTGAAGTATCCAGTTTATTACTTTGTTATTACAACACATTTTAATTTGAACATTTTAGAATTCTCTGATGCATGTAACGTTTATAAAATACTGACTAATCAATATGAACCACAGTTTTCTTTTTAATAAAATACAGTCTTCAATTACCTAGAACGACTTGTCAGCATAATATGTAGAAAACTTTGTGTTTTATTGTAAAAGAACATCTTAAAAATCATGATTGTTTAGAGTCATGTAAGTAACCATTAAACCATTGAAGGTATTTGATCTTGTTGTAATATCTTCACGAAACATGACCAAAACCTGCTCTAATTACGAGTTTGCGTCTTTTTTAATGTGACCATTTTAAACTGCATACCTTAGTTGTATTACCTTTTAATATTTTCCAATTAATTTTTTACCAGTAGACGAATTATGAGACGTAACTGATTTGTTGGACATATTTACTTACGTTGCTTGAGTCTTGAGTATTTATTCGTACTTTCCAATTAATGAATTCAAAAGGTCACTTTAGGTTTTGTTTATTATTTATCGGGTCACATAATCCCAATTATACCTTTGGGTAATCAATAGTGAGCTCTAAAATGTAGTTTTAGAGCCTAAAACTGGGATCGGTTTCAATAACTAAAAACATAAATAAAATATTTACACTACTTCAACAAAAGTGTTGTTTTGATCCTGATAAAGACTGTGGTTTAACACTTTTATAATCTTTTATCTTATTAAAAAAATCAATTGGATGATGATTTATAACGTGAAGTGGTGTTTAAATAACTCAACGATTTTCAAAGTCACTTATATGAATGTACCAATCATTTTAAGTTGATCATAATTTGTTAATTTATTATTGAACTGATTCTCTGAATCTGTTTCTTTTTTTTTCTTATTTTTCAGTTTGATTTTTTATTTTTAACATTTGCACGATACTTACAAACACAAAATATTATTCAACCCATTGTATATTCAACATTTACAGGAACAGTTTTTAATATGTTTGCACAGTATTATTTTATTGTTCATTTAAACTATGGGCTACGGTAAGTTTTCATGGAATATGAATTCTACAAAATCTGTTACATTGATATTTATGATATATAATATTTAGTAAATATCAGTTGTGATTGTATTTCAATGAATATTTATACGTGACCTTCCATTAGGTATTACCTATTTGAGCCCTAATAAGTGTTTTTAGAGACATTTCTTTAATTTTAATTGAACAACATAATTATTCCGGATTTTGACTGGTTAGTTATAGCCTTCTAATTGATTGTTATAAAAATTTGTCATATTGACAACTTACTAGAGTGCGGTATATGCGGTAGCATTATTATGTTGAATGGTCAGAGGATCACTATTCATGTGAGATGTGAATACGATTAAAGAAAATTTCAAATGAATTTATTTGTTTGTTTTTATTTGATCACTCGGCTAATTTTAATGATTTTTTGTATAGTGGTTCACTGTTCACCCAATGATTAATATGTCAGTTGTATGAAAGTATTTTACTAGAGCTTCTTTATTTCTGTACTGTTGAAAAATGGCATATTCGTTAAAGCAGATAGACTTACACTATTTATTTGAGCGTCATAACACTGATATCCATTTTTCCATTTAAAATGGTTGGTTGGTGTAGCTTGGTTTCAGTTTAGTAACATATACTTAAGAAGTAATACTATGTTTACATTATTATATTAATATCGTAACAATTATTCTAAAGCAAATTGTAATTTGTGTGGATCTTTAAGTAGGAAAGTATGAAATAAACAAAACTATAACTAAAATGACCAGATTAAATGTAGATGATTGATATTTATAAGTTACTTAAGAAAATGGGAGAAACACATGTAGTAAGATGGTGGAGAAGATTTGTAGCTCAGGTGGATGATTTTAGCGCAGTTTTGTTCTCTGAGGTGGATGATTTGGTCGTGGAGCTTTCAGCGTTCTTCTGAGTGACATCATCAGCACAAACTTCAGATGGAAGTGAAGGTCAATAAGAACCGATCAACGTCGAGGTGTGCAGAACAAGCTGTGAAACGCATATGGAGAAATTCGAACACTTCACTTCTATCTGAAGTGTGTGCTGATGATGTCGTTCAGAAGAACGATGAAAGCTCCACGACCAAACCATCCAGCTCAGAGAACAAAACTCCATCAAAAACACATGTAGTACATATTACATAGAAGGGTGTTTGAATGATGAAGTGCCACGAAAATTTGATGTGCTTGTGAGAATCATGAAACAGTTTTTTGGGAAATAATACAGCTTTCGTCTCTTGTAACAGGACCAGTTATGATTTGCTAGAATTTCTGGGTTGTAAGGTGTCAGATGCTGTACAAAAAATAATTAAGGTACACATATGCAGTGCTTTGTGACAATAAACAATCAAAACATGTAGTTGGTAAATGTCTTGCATTCATTACTATTGATTTCATTTCACTTAAAGTTTTAGAATTAGTATGAGTCACTGAGGTATTTTGTTAAGTATATAAAATGGAATTTCGTCTCTCTCATCAGCTTCATGTGAGAAATGTCTTCAGAGACTATCTTTTATCACCACCAGCTCGTTAGTGTATTTCATCAAACCACTTGTACTTTTGGCAGGGAAGGTTAAATTTAAAATTTCGAAATAGACTAAGAATGTTTTATGAGCAATTGAGTTTTAATCTTTCGAATGCTTATTGAACCAGGTCAAAAGAAGACTTCATTGGAAGTTTTCAATAAGTTGTATTTTTTTACTTACTGTTGAATAGTAGACGTTATCTTCTTTATATCTACGCTCGTAAAAAACTATATACAGAATGTATTCCAAATACTTTTAATTATTTAAAACAATACATATTGGCCTAAATGATGATAATCTAACTTTTTCTATGTTCTAGCGCTTCCGCTATATGCCTGTCCTTATCGTTTGGTTGTATGTTTCTTTGCGAATTGGGATATATATTAGCTTCCAAAGTTTATAAGGAAACATGGAGTGGTAAGTGATAAATTCAATCTTTTCAATTATCAAAGTATACTTTATACAATGTTATTAATAATTCACCGAGATTGTTTTGATTTTCACTTAAGTGGTTGTATATCACTTAAATAAGTGAAAAAGGAATATTACACACTAAAAATCTAACTACAGTTAGAAGTACAAACAATTTGACCCTTTTAAAATTTATACTAAAAGTCATGTTAGTCATTGAGTAATATCAGAGTCAGAAAATGAGGAGTATTTGAAATGTAGCTGAATTTGTATAAAAATCATGTACCGAAATCTTATCAGAGTTACCAAGGTGCATTAAAAAGTAGGCACCATCGACAATGTCATTTATTTTCATGAAATCATTTATTAATCTTATATCAAAGTTCAATGTAAAATTTGGAATGCATAGGTAACTATCAGTAAGTAAAATTCGTGAAAATAACTGATCTTCTATCTAATATAACCAAACTAGTGACGATTCCATTTTTTTTAAAAAGTTTAATGTTCTGTACGAAAATGTTAAACACCTGATTCTGGTAACTAGATAGTGAACTAAAAGTGAGTAATACGCAACGAGCATATATAGAAAATATTGTCAAATATTTTGTAAACAAATATGAACAGTTTGGTAAAATATTGCTTGATATAATGGATTTCTAAGTGTTCGAATTATTTGAAATAGAAACTCTAACTTACATCAAAGAAATATTTATTCCAAATCAGTATGTACATTTGAATATTGAAGCGATCAATCGACCAGAAATGATACTTGAATTATGAAGTAAAAGAAATGCAGCAGTCTTGATAAATTGGCGCAAATATGAAATGGAAATAGGTGAAAATGGAATAGCATATCTATTTTATGTATAAAATGTGTGTTTTTAAGGGAGAATTGACACTATGATTTTAACAACGTTTTACAATTGATAATGAGAATTAAACAAGTTGAATCTAACTATGGAAAATATCAATACTATTGGGAATTCTTCACAAACTAAGTCCATATAAGTCATCTCTACAATCTACAAAATATAGACTTTAATTTCACAATGTCACCAATAAATACCATCTTACATTTAGGTTAACCTCTGTCGATGTCTAATGAATAAATGCTTTATACAACCTCTTCACAACTTTTAACACTAAACAGAAACTACATTGACATTTCAGCGATTTACACTGGATACAACACATGACAATATATGAAATCCTATCATATTGGTACATGGAAATGATAAACAGTTGTTATGTATCATAATGGATGCTTTATTTTGCATCAAATCTACCTAGACAAATCACGGAAATAACATACTAACGATTGATAAATTCAAATATTTTGAAACAAAAGTCGCATGACTTGTTTGCCAATCTTTATTCATTAATCGTAATTTTAAGATACTGTGTTCATTCAAGTGCTATAAAATAATGAGTGAATTCATTATTGATCAGTTACAAAAACGATCCATTCATTTCTTTAAGGAAGATTGGTAGCAAAGCTACATATTTAATTAGACTTTTATTCATTTTTTAAATTGAATGCAGTTGAATTGTCAACGTTAAGAAAGACGGGCTGTTTAAATGTGATCCATAAAGAAAATAAGTATTTTTATCAGAATGACTCAAGTCCTCGTTCGATGACAAGCTTACCAAATGTACCTGAAACTGTACTAACTTAAACATTTATCCTCTTATTCGATGAATGAAAACAAGCTAGATAAACATTTAGAGACGGCGTTGAATACTCCCAGTATATTGAATATAAAAATCTAACTATTTTATTCATAGTTATGTGTTTTATGAGAGATACTTATAACCATTTTTCAGAAAAGAAAACAAAACGCTTCATTTCAAAATTATGCAATCTATAAGTTTCTGGAGATGTACAGTAATAGCTTAGTTTTGTAAAAATAAAATTCATGAATAACCTGTATTAACCTTGTTTACCTATGGTTTATAAGGAATTGATAGACGCTAAGGTCCATAAAGTGATTCGTGAATATTTGAAACGGTTAAGGTAGAAACTTAAGCATGTGAGATGGATAGATCGAAGTTAGATATAAACACTGTTGGATGCCGGCTTGGTGGTCTATTGGTCAACGATTCGCGCGCGAAACCGAAAGTAATGAGTTTGAGTTCTGAATGCGAGATCGTGGATGAGCACTGCTGAGAAGTTCCATACTGGGACGAAACGGCCATTCAGTGCTTCCAGGTTTTCAGTGGTGGTCTAACTTACATCGACTCGTAAATTCAACTATTAAAATCTAAAATAAATTAAAACCGTGAAAACCATTCATGTAACTTTGTATAAATAAAAATGTGGAAAAGTTACTAAAAATCTTTATTGTACTAAATGTGCTAGTCATGGGGTCTGTAAGTCCCCTTACAAAGAATCACTTCTGATCTTATAGTTATTAAATCATATTAACATATTCTAAAGTCATTATAAATGTTCCTTTTTGTTTTCTTTATTTTTATTGGTTTTTCTTCTGTAAATTTTATTCGTATAATGTATTTTCGTAATCATAAATAGGTCAGATGAAATGTTACTACATATTGTAAAATATCTTATAGGAATGTTCAAACTCCGTAATATTGCCAGATTAATGTATAGTTTTTAACCTTTCATGGTTGTCGTTACTGACAAACATTTAAACTTTACCACGTACTGAATCCAATATAGTGTGCCCATAGTTCTCCACTTTTATTAATCCATAGAAAAAATTATCAGGTAATTTAACTAATTTCTCAAAACTCTAAACATAACAGTCATTGTATGATCACAAGTGTATGACTTTACGATAGATTCCTGAGGTTCTGGTGAAAATTTGTGATTGCTAGATACCCACCAAATTAAGCGTCAATCAGAAATTCGTCAGTGGGATTACTCGATTGTCATGCTATGATACACTGAGTTCTGATTCAATTATTCAGAAGTAACTCACTTAAAAAGGTGTTGGTCCCTATCACTGACAGGATCGCTAGTTTGCACAACTGAAGACACCCGTACTTAGATGAGGTAGCTGTTTTATGACATAGTTTTTACTGATTACTTTGCTTTGACGGATTCTGTAACCATAGGTATAATCAAAGTGAACTGGCATTCTAAAATCATCCTTACGACCTCGAGTACCGTGAAAAAAGCTCCAGAAGACGAAAGAAAACACTCAATGTCTTGTTCAAAAGTTATTTGATTTTTTGGAATTCCACTGAATTTCTTATTTGCTTCAGTAACTTCATAAAAAGCTGAAAAGTAACTTTTATTCATCATTTGATTTTCTTGATAACGATTATTGAAAGCCATTTAGCTATCGAGAAATCCACAGCCAGATTAAGACCCTATATTTGGATAGTTCGGACTGAGTAGTGGTGTTTCATAGTGGAACAAAATTAATGTGACTTGTCTAATTGCTGTAAGCTGGCGTCATGTCGAATGTTCATACTTGCAGCTCTATTGAAAATAAGTTTGACTACTTGTCAGTAGTTAAATATTATTTTTGAGAAATTGTTCCAATGAAATCCATAAGACATTTGGGATGAAATAAAGCTTATTGTCGAAATAATCCTATGAAAAGTGTTCTCGGGTACAATTCATGCTAACAAGCCTTTCAGAAATCGTGTATATGATCTTGGCTACCCACATGAGCTATTGAAAATTGAAGAGAAAGAGTTGGAAGGAAAGTGTGTTGAGTTTTCGTGAAGCCGATTCACTTTTCTATTGAAGAGATTTTTCTAGAACTACACACCGCTTTGTCGCCTGAGAATGTGGGAGTAAATCCGTTTTCATAGAACCCTATGAAGTGCTTTAAAATTCTTTTTGCTAAAATGAAGGTCATAAGCAGAGATGGATGGTGACTAGTAGTGAAATCCAGGACTCGCATTTCGTCCTATTTGGGACTTGTTACCTAGATCTACCTGCATCCCATAATTGACGTTCACTTTGGTACCACCCCATTACAGTTCGCTTCAAAAGCCATCGCGTTATCCACTTAGCCACTGAATCCAGATAGCCACTTTCTTGTGCAAAGCAGTGAAGTTCCAATTCACTTGGTATTGTTTGCTTGAATCTTCCCATTGATGTTTAGGACCGCAATTGACCAGTCTCTTATTGGTACATGTGCTTCCTGTGCCCACTGCCTCGATATTGTCCCTAGTCACAAACATCGCAAGTTTCATGGGTATTGGGTTTGAGCCCAGGAGTAAACATTAACACCGGGGTGTAGGTACATTCAGCTGACGAGTCCAAAATAGAAAGAAAGCAGGCATTCTGGATTCAAATGCCAGACACCATCCATCTCTGCTTATAATGTTTGCGACGTAAGGCAATATCGAGGCAATTTACACAGGATGTATATATATATATATAGCTAATGATGATGTAAACTATTGAAGAACAAATCACTTATTTAGTGTATCAGAGATCTACAAAGTTTATAGTTCCATTTACAATCTCTGTATCAGCAACAGCTTATGCTATTTGAAAATCTGTTATAAATAGTCTTAGTTTGAGCTATATCTTTTGTTTCCAGGATTCAAATTAAATTCTGCACTTAGTAATTGGAGTATATTTTTCAAATTGGGAATTCCTGGTATTTTAATGGTGGCACTAGAAGAATGGTGTTTTGAAATGATGACATTAATGGCTGGTAAGTTGATTTAATTTAGTTGACCAACATAATGAGATAAACTTACATTATTTAAAGTAATTATTAAGAAAAACTCTATGACAAACACCTGTGACACGAGTAGCTAAACCACTAAACCAATCAGTTAGTTACATCAAAAATTATTTTTGAAATCTATTTCGTACAGTGCTGTGAGACATTAGTAATACAAGTATTACTTTATGACAGATTATACTATAAAAATTGAAATAAAGGGTACTGGCTGTCAATGTTTGGTGACCTCAAATCGTAAAGTCACTTCAAACGAAATCAGCTAAAACATTCATCATGTGAATGTGCTGATATTCTTCTTTATTAAGGTCACTGAAGGAGGAAATATGTTTTATTAATTAGCTTTGATAAGTAATCCTACAATCCATTTGATGACTATATATGTACCATATATCCGGAATGAAAATGTGACTTGTATTTTGAGAGGATTCTACTTTACTACACGTATAACTCTGTTATTTACTTTATACAGTATGGTAGTAGTCAACGTTCTATTTTAGAGGCTTCAAATTATGTGTCCAATGTTGATCTTTTGACATCCTTCTGCTTCTGCTTGTAAATCACTTTCTAGGCACTCTGGGAAGCGTAACTCTGGGAGCTCAGGCAATCGTGTTTCAGATTCAGTCAATAATATATATGGTAAGTTGTTAATATATTTACCGCAATCAGAACTGTTTTCTTTTAATAAAATTTAACCTTGTCTTAAGTCACTCAATATACTTGAGTGACCAACATACAAACAGAGTTCTAGTATATTGTAAACGTGTATTTCGGGAGTTTTAAAAGTATAAATTTCTCAAGGGCAATTGTTTAATTAGTGTACTTACAATAAGACCATGACTGGGACATAGAACTATGCAAATTAAAGTTGGATATTAGATTGATTATTGAAAAAATTGTACATACAAAAACATTTCCTACTTAGCATGAAAAACTAGTGATAAGCGTGTGGTGGTTCCCAAACAAAAGGAGCTTACACAAAATATATTGATACACTAGGTTAATAGTGGTATACCAAAAAAATTAATAGTAAAGAAACCTAGATGTCTGTCCGTTAGTAAAACCATAGGTAACAAAATACCGTTAGCAATACAAAAGGTATATTAAACAAACAGACACTAACAGTTACTATAGAATGAATGTTACTTGTGGACTGCCACGTGAGAACAACGACCACAAACTGAGTTCACTTGATTGACAGGTGTTCCTCTCCAAGTGACTGCACCAATGATGTAATGAGGAAGACGGAGTCCAATAGTATTATACAATAGTAATCCGCGCCAAAAGTCCAACGTTGAGTCGGAAGGCCTATAATGATGTTATAATACTATTATAGTCTTCAATCAAAACGATGGCCAATAAAACAGAAGAACAAACGGCGTAGACAGTGTTCTATATTTTAAACAACGCGGTAGTAAAATCGTATATCATTCATCGAAACAATTATCATCGTCTTTTTTTAACAAGTGATACAGCGAAACAACAGATATGGAATAAAAATGTGGTTACAAATAAGGTGTGACAAATTAGAGAAAAAATGTGGTTTTTATTTTTGTTGTTACAAAAATCACTGAATATATGTCACCATAAGCGATTGCTCAATTGATTAGCAATGGCAAATGTCTGTCGAGTACTTATTTAATGTATTTATTATTATTATTATTAATATAACTTCTGAAAGAATTGGATAGGGTTTATAGAGGGACAGAGGGACAGAACTATAATCTGATGTCTTCTAAAATTTATGACGACTCTATAATTAGTTTTGCATATTTCATTACTAACAGTGCTTCAATCTTTTATAAGATCCTTCTTGTTAATTTTATAAATACAAAATCAATTAATTCTTAATTATAGGTTCCTCTTGGACTGTTTACAGCAGTAAATATTCGTGTTGGCCAAAGACTTGGTGCATTTGATCCAGTTGGTGCTCGTTATGTATACTTCACTGCGTTAACAATCATTTGTAGGTTATCTGTAATTACTCGTTCAATGAACGTGAAATGTTGTAGTATTTTTTATTCGTGAAGTAACTGTAACTATAGTAATGATCACTATTAAAATATCTATGAGTAATTTAAATAAATATTTCTATCATAGTCGTATATATCAATAAATCAGTAGGTCCTGGGTTCGAGTCTCGCAGGGGGCGAGGTCGTGGATTGCTTGATGTTAGACATTAACACCGTTGGATATCGGTTCAATGATTTAGAGGACAAGCGATCTCGCGCGAGACTGATAGATCCTGGGTTCGAATCTCGTGAGGCGGAATCGTGGATGCGCACTGCTGAGGAGTCCCACAATAGGACGAAACGGCCGTCCAATGCTTCCAGGTTTTCCATGGTGGTCTAGCTTCAACTGACTCATGATCTTAACCGTTGAGATAAATACTTGTTTACTGAAGGTATAAAACATAAGGAAAATTATTTTCTATTTTATTCAGAATGTTTATGTTTATACATTGTTTCAAAATGTACCCAACAAATATTTTTAAAAAAATCAAACAATATTTTAATTTATTCATATTTTGTTTTATTTTTTTAGCTATAGTTGCATTATTTACTGGTTTACCTGTTGTACTCTTACGACATTACATTCCTTATATGTTCACATCGGATGAGTGAGTTATATCTATTCTACTTTAATTAATTTACTTCTTTTATCAGTTAGTTATTATTTGATTCGATTAAAAGTTATAACTTATATATAATAATATCAAAATATAGATTTATTTAGATAAAATTATTTGTAATCAATTTCTAATTAGACTAACAATGACTATAATAGATATAGACCATAAATGTGTATATTATACAATACAACCATACGTGATATCAATAAAATGTGTAATAGCTCTTAACAAAATGGGTATTTCATATATTGCGAAATCAATGGGGTTTTTAGTTCAGTTAAGAGTTGAAATGATAAAGGCTGTGAGTGTAAATCTGAGCATATAGACTATTTATTTGATACTGCCATTTACTAATAATATTTATATAAAATTATAACACTATTCATTCAGACAAGTAATTACCGTTGTCAACTTATCAAAGCGTTTTTTTTTATTTTAACTATAAGCTCTTTGTAGTGTATCGGTAAAAGTCATATAATGCAGATATTGTTGAATAAAATTTAAAAAATACAACGATTTTTATGTTTTACAAAAATAACTAATTTTGTTATTGACAACTTTGTGCCGAAATTATTACTTGAATGACATTTCATGTTCATGTTTTTCCTCACTATTTGGCTAGAAATTAATAGTAATCAATATATGTAGTAAATAAATATTGACTGTGGTACAATGTAATTAGTCAATACTTCTGCTTTGAATCACTTTGGTGATGCTAATTACTTATAGGTTACGTGTACGCTTTGTTAGTGATAATTATCCCCGTTAATTTACTTTAAATGAGATAATTATTAGCATTAGTACAAATGCTAACATAAAAATCAAGAATCTAATAGTGTTATGATCGATGAGTAGGGTTAATTAATTTTTTATATCAGGCAGAATCACACTGCATTTATAAAATATCAAAACAATACATTAAATGCATTGTTTGAACATCTTCCTTGAGTTGTCCTTTACAAACTCCATTGTTTTTTCCGTTCCTGCAATATTCTGACTGCTCTCTACTTTTTTGTTCCTTCTTCATTTTCCTTTTCTGTTGATAAGAATTCTACTTCAGAATCTTGATATATGTACTTTTATATATATACTACTTATAAGTAGCACAACAGTTTAGATGAAACATTTTAAAATCGTTCATTTATTTTGATCACGAAAATGATAAACAGGAGTTAATAACGCTTCTTTTTCTACGCATCTAAACGAACTTAGACAATAAATGTAGTGGTTTCTAAAATATCAACGACATATCGTATTTCTTTCGAAATTTAGAAGTTTCATCAAGTTTACACGTTATTGCCAACTAATTTATTTATTATTTATTTCATGGATTATTTAAAAAAAGAATATTTTCACTTGCTCATATTAAGAAATATCTGAAAATAAATGTTTCTTTTCTTGTATTCTTATTATTTCTTGATAGAGAAGTTTGTTCATTAGCCAGTCAGCTTTTACCAATGCTTTTACTATTCCAGTTTCTTGAAGGATTTGCTGTGAGTACTTTTTAAGAGTTAAAATATATTACTTTATTTAGTTGATTGTATAAACGAGAGAAATTTCAAATAGATGTGGAACATTTAACAAGTTCTACTGGGTTTGTTTTCGTTCAATTTTCAATATTATTGAAGAAGGAGAAATTCTTTTCTTTTTCTTACTTATACCAAATTGTTTTTTATTCTTAGTAGATTTTACCAGATTTCCACAGTCATACCGCTTCTTCTTAGCAGTTAATTAGTCAGAAGTGTTGTTGAAGCATCACATCTAGAATATAGCATACAGTTATTGAAAACATTTTATCTAGTCTAATGACATACTACACCATATTCTGAAGAGACGAACGTTTGCTTTTTTAGAAAGAAAGAAAGAAATCATATTAAAGCACAGATATATGAACGAAGAATGTTCTTCTCAGTAATTTCTCACCAGGTTCTACAATTATGTATTCAAATTAATAATCCATAAAATTGGCGAGGTTTAAGGCAGAGTACATCATTTAAAATTATAACATATGAATTAAAGATTGTTTGTAATAAAAAATAAAATGAAATCGTTAATGTTGGGGTGACTAACATGAAGTGTTAACTTGAATAAATTCATACATTGTAAGATAAACAATGATCAGAGTAAGTATGGTCAACATGTGGTCAGAGGGAATAATGTAATTGTAAATCGGAAATTACGCAATATGTAGGATAATATGAGTTAGTTACAAACTAGTTAATAGGGTTAGATGCTGAATAAACTTTTCAAAACGTTTCTCAGGTGCTATAATATTGATGTTAATAATAACAATCATAAGATATGAGAATAAGATAAATTTAAGCTATTAAGATCAATAATAATCAAATTATGTCACCATATCATAAAACTGACTATTAACTAGTTGAACCCGAAGATGGCCAGGGTAAAAGGAGTGGTTGAATATATTTCTTCTGGACTCAAAGCTCCAACTTTTTCATTCGAATGGAAATTGTTTCAGCCGTCTGAAGGATTTTCAGTCTCATGGATTTAGGCAAAGTTCTGTTAACATAAAATATTATTATGTAAGACTGATTGTTTGCCCAGTTTGTACTAAGTGGACTAAAATTGAGCTGTTTATAGTTTTAAATATGCATTTACTTCACCATACTGGGAGGTGTTCGTTAGTCCGAAAATACTAATTCTTAGAACACCTGCCAATTTGCTTCACAATGGAAGTTGAATTGATAGATATAGAAAGAAGTGACCGGTCTAGGTAATTTATCTTTCAACCTCGGAGTAATCGCCGGATATGTAGAACAAAATAATTGTAGCTTGTTTGTTCTTTGAATTGCTCTGTTCAGATTTAGTATTAGCATATCGCTGGATACATCACCTCTAAATTATAAGCGCAAATACAAGGGCTTTTCGTTCACAGTTAGGTATTCTTTATGCTCTTTTTTCTTAGCTAAATGTTTATTTATAAATTTTTCCGGATATCTATTTTCTTTCAGGGTTGTATACAATACCTTTGTTTCATTTTCAACCGCATCTAGAGAGCATATGGTTTTGATTCTATAATGAAGTGTCTTATTCAAGTTCCTATTATATTGTAGAAGAACAAAACTAAGAAAATTTGTATATTGAACATTCAGAGATGTTTGTAAATAAACATTTAGCAAAGAAAAGAGAGTAACCATTAGTTTATGAATTCTTAATGCACATAATGGCGGTTTTGTTTTGAATCAATCTGAAAACTAATGAATAATACTTACAATATTACTTTATTCAACTTATAATCCAAATAGTTAATAAAATGATCTTAACACCTAAAGAATATAAAAAAAGTAAACAGATACTAACGAATTATTATTATGACCTAATGGACTGTAAATGTTTATACCGTCTTTCAAAATTATCATGACTTACAACTATTCTTTACGATATTCTACTTGAATTTACGTGATTAATTAATTCATAAAATGAAGGTGAATTTCCCAAGTTTTCTCTTTTGAATATGAAAAGATGAAAAACTTTTAATCAGTTTTAAAATTAAATCAGACCTGAGTTTAATTAATAACTTGGTCACTAATTAAATATGATTGAAACCTGTTTAGCTAAAATTATTCTTATAGGACACTAATTAGGATTTTACTGATACGTCTTTATCAAACGTCTTATTCAAACAATTATCACTGTTTTTGACAAGGAAATTATTTTCTGTGAAAACTTAGAGGCTTCTAAAGTGAATATGACTTATCTAGGTTACAAGACAAATTTGTTAGCCCAGTAACTAAACTGTTAGGTGAATTGGGATAGGTAATACATATAGTCACAGAAAGTTTCTTCACCTCCATTTAATTTCACATTAACCATTACAAATATATCCAGGGACAATTATTTACTTATTCAAATATTGCCATTAAATATTAATAGCTTAATAGTTTTAAATTAATGATAGATATTCATTTAAAATGACTAGCAAGCTAATGGCTTGACAATATATTTGTTTCGAATATCTTTTATAAAAAAATGAGTTTTAAGAATGGATTTGTTCTTGATTTAAATTTATTGTTTATTAACTTGGCAGGGTGTATCAGAGGCTATTTTACTAGCTTGTGGTCGTCAAAGTCTTGGAGCAATTACAATATTTTTAGGTTATTATTGCACTGGAATGCCAATTGCTGCAATACTAACATATCAGACATCACTTGGAATATTAGGTAAGCTTATATTATAAATGGATTTTAACCAAGAGCTAATGAATCATTGTAATTAATAAATTATTTACTTACAAAGATATTACCATAATCTTTTAGTTAAAAAATTATTCTTCCACAATATTGTCACTACTGTTCATCTAACTTAATATGAAATCCGTGACATTTTTAATATTTATAGAAACATCCAATTAGAAGAGTTTAAAATCCATGTTGTAGAATTCTAATGCTCTAAGTCTATGGAGAGCTTGTAATAAAGATGATCTGTGAATATTTATATGAAACATACTGTATCTATATTTTTATGCTATTAATATAAGTAATGTTTTTTTCAGATAAAAATTTAGGACCTTTAGTCTATTATGACTGTACACGGTCACTATCAAATGTTGAAAATAACAAATAAGCAACAGAAGTACTTATAATAAAAATTGTCAACAATTTATGGCGGATGTAGACATTGAAGCATCATTCTAAGTTTATTGCAGTTCTAAACACTGAAGTTGGTCTACTTAGATACCTGTTAGTTGAAATTATCGTGTAAAACCGTGTACTAGGAAGTGTTAAGTCCAAAAACTTTAATTTTTGAGTGAACAGAAAGTATTTTGATTACCATAGGTCTATTTGCTAACTATTCCAACTAATGAGCTTTCATGGGACTTATAAGAGTTACTGACGTCTTTAGCAAAATAGCAGTGCGTTTTCACAAAATGTACATGACGTTCAAATCTTAGGTTGAACAACGCTTTAAAGTAATTAAGTTTGTTAATTTATTTAGGAAAAGTGACCTAGGTTAACATTTGAAAAGTTTCTCGGCGTACTATTTAATTGATAGATTATCAGTCGAGAAATTCTCAAATGTTTCAAAGGTATTTCACACCTAGTTTATCTAACCACAACTACCATACAGGCTTTGAACTAATCATGTTCTTTAATATAGCAAATTAATTTTCATGAAGCCCAATGATTATTTCTCGCTATTACAGAACAAGTCAGAGTGAATGATTCATTTTTTTAAAAGACATCTTTTACCTTTGATCTAGTGAAAGAATGTGAGTGGCAATTGAAAACTATGTGTTTATCGCCAGTGACCCCAAACATACATGATTTATTTATTGGTTTGTAAACCACTAAAAAGCGTAGCAATCTTCTACACAAAGTTAATTTGTGTTAAATATCTAATAATATTTAGTATATTTTGCAGCAATCTAAGATTGCTTTCTCTGTGAACATTTTGCGTATAATTTAACATATTAAAAAGCTGATTAGACTAAATCATTCTTGATAATAATATTCTTAGATCGTACTAGACATATTCTTATAAAAGGAAGAGCACTTATATTCATGTGTTTAAACCTAAACCAGGCAATAAAATAAATCGAAAGTTGGAAATACTGGGAAATTGCTAGAAGCCGTATCTCAACAACGAAATAGGTTTACACCATAGAATGTTCTAAAAACGTACTTTAAGATATTGATCACAAATTCAGACTATATAAGATTGTCCTCTTATTCTGATGAGAGATATTTGAGTTACTAAAGCCTCTTGTCGCAAACAAAAGTGTACAGTCATGTTAACAGGCTTCCTCGGCCTACCTGTAACCATTTGGCTGACTAATGTTTTGTTGAAGCGTTGATAAACCGTGTATATATCAATGTATCTACTGATTGCCAATCGATCTTAATCCTATGCCTCTAGGAATTCCCCGGTTTTTTTTAAAATCTGGATGCCGAATTTTGATCGAATTCATGTTCAAGTCTGTCTATATGCATGAATGTGTTTTTGGGTACATGGTTGATGGATAATTAGCTTCAAATAATCAATAGTAGAATGATCACTTTACTTTTAAGTAGACATTGATTTTGAGTTCAATGGAGAATCTTGGTGGGCGGCCTATGCTCCTTCTCATGAGGTAACAGGCGTAATTTAGTAAGACAGTTTTTACAAACGCACTGATTAATGAAACGTAAATTTCAAAAATATTAGCATCGAAATTTTGAAAAAAAGTATCTGCTTTGAATAAAATATCGTGAAAAAAGAACACTACTGATGCAAGCCATTCGAACAGTCGCTTTACACTTCAACTTTTCCTGACGATGAAGATTAATTCAAGATAATCCAGTGTAACTGATAAATAAATAATTACCTTTAAAATCTTGTAAATATTTTTCAGACCTTTTCGTCAAGTGATCTATTACACTTGTGTTTGGAAAATAACTTTTCTTTGATTGTATTTCTTATGATCAATACAAATGTAAATAATGATAAATCAAATCAATAATGATTACAATTTAAACTATTCAACACATGTCAGTATTCAATTTTCATTCTTTTCTATTGTCTAATGGCCCAAAAACTGAGATTGGCGCTTAGCCATTATGGTCATTAGCAGTATCTGTAGTGGGATACCTAGATATTAAAGACTTTACTAAATTTTACTGTTAATTGTTTATTATGAAATTTTTCATACTTTGAAAATGTTCTGTATATGTACTTATTGGAAGACTACAGTATTTAATGATGAAAATCATACAATTCAAGGATTAGTCAGTCAGTCGTTAACAACGTAGGACCAGGCACATATATGAATCGGTTCAAGGTTTAATAGCTCATTAGCATAACAAGACGAACACTAAATTCATAAAAGTAGTTACTTCAATGATATTAATATATATATATATATATATATAAAGATTGAGCATAAGCATATGATACAGGAAGAAAGAATTAGAGGTAGGAAGAAAGGTATAAAGTAATTTTGATCTCACAATTTAAGGGAAGACAAAGCGTGTATGCTTCTACATCATTGTGATCGATTCTGAACCATGTCACCCAGAGTCTTCAACCACTGGTTACGATAGTCGCAAGGACCCCATCAAACAATTCAGGGATACTCCTGTTAACGTATTACTAGCAACTACAACGTGCAGCTAGATCTTATGAGTGTTTTTGATAGGGTTGCGATCGCTGAACAATATGGTTGAACTGCTAAAATTTTATTTTCTACAACACCTAATCCATGCAGCTCAGAGAACACAATACCACCGTATGTATTCACCTGTGTTGGGGATATTCTCAATCATTTATCAGTGTGCTATAGACTACTGAGGCAAGTATTGATTTTGTTAGTGTCTATATCTGTAATGCATGGGTGGAGTTTGAAAAACAATGATGGAGTAATTTTTACACATGAAAGTTGGTATTTTAAATGTTTAGTTTCTAATTTTATGAATTTTTTCAACAAAAAGTAGATTAAACTAGTAGTATTTATTAAATTGTTACAAATAGGTGAACACTAGTGTGTAATTTACTGATTAAACAATTCATTATCCCATCATTTCAAGTTTTATTTAAAAAACACTTTCATAGTAATTAGAAATCCTATTTTTAATGTCATCATAATCAGGATCATGGATAGGTTTAACCATTGGTTTTGGATTAACAACTATGGTTTACACAATACTTGCACTGAGAACAGATTGGACTAAACAAGTTAAGCAAGTAAGTTTAACAAGATCAGTTAATTTCATTTAGTCAGTTAAATAACCATATTGAAATGCGAAAATAAATTTCCTCGTATGCACCTATCCAAATCATTTATAATCATTCTCAGTGTTATTGTTTATGTGTTTGGTATTATACTGTAAGTGAAATTAATAATGTAACTGGTTCTAATGATTTTAGAAATATGAGGAGTTGCAGAAAGGTTAACTGATTTAACTAGAAATATAAAAGTATTCAAAATAAATCTACTCCTGATGAATCTAATCACACACTAGAGAGCAGCTGTTTAATTGTATACATTTTATCACACTGTATACTATCTTGGGCAAACTTTATTGAGATTCTAGTAATTTTTTAATCATTCTCTTTGATCATATTGTCTAAAAGATAGACACCTAATATTGATCTTTTTGATATTATAAGTGAGTTCATCATCAAACAGTATCATTAGGTTTCAGTTTATGATTTTTTTAGCTCTTTCACTTTTAACTATTATATGTTAATGTCACATTTAAATAATGTAAAAAAAATAAGCGAATATGCTCCTATTTAATTGCTGATTTAAGCTTTGAATATCCGATTAAGTGATGTCATTACATTTTAATTTTTATCCTACCCTTTATGTAATTTAATAAATTTTTTTGAGAAACGTCATTTACTCATTCATATAATTGCATTTTATTTAATTTTGAATCAACACCATTTAGTTGGCGTTGTATTCTTATGTATTGCATTTAATATTTGAAAAATACAGCTCCTGACAATCCTGACTTTCTGCTATCAGAGTATTGGTTAGAGATTTGTTATCAAAAACATAATCCTCAGAAAAAGTAGGGATACATAGATTGAAAGGTAAATATAACATTCATTTAGTTTGTATTAACTATTGCTACAGACAAACTCAGGAAAGGAAAATATATATACTTATTTGTGTACAACTATCTTCTATTAACTACAAAAAACGTTCCCCGATATTGCACGCGAACGCTTAACTTCTAGACCATTGATCCGGCATTTGATGGTGTTCATGACTAACTTCAACCAGTCAACGCACGATATTGAGCGACCATCATCCATTGTCTTCGGTGAGTAACTGCCTCACGTCCGACACGGTTGAACTCCATTAGTCATGACCTCTCACAAGAAATCCGAGAATTATCTCTTGGAGGTAGTCACCAGTGAGCACATGATGGTTGAATAACATTGATCGGTTTAGGATACCGATAAAAACTAAACAGTCTCCACAACCCCATATTGACGAATATTATTTTAACAGTTCTTTGGTAAAATTTCATAAATACCTAGTGCATAATTATTCTTAAATTTGCAATTTGATTCGTATTTACAAAAATCCAGACAGAAACATTATCTCTATTATGAAGAATTAATGTCTTTGTATACATTTGAAATATAACAAAAATGGTACAGTTGCTGATATTTCAAACTTCCTTGGACTATATTTCAAATTTCCCAAGATCGACTTATTTTTATTGATTGATTTTAGGCTAGAAACAATGTTACAGAAATATCATCTGTTTATTCGACAAATAATATTAACGAACAATATAAATATCACTGCTTAGATAGAGAAAATGAAAGTGCTGATGGTGAGTGATATTTATGAATTATTCTTTGCATAATTCATTAATCCTAGGATAACCATACTGACATTTGAACTTTACTTTTCGTTCACTGAATGTTTAGTGAGGAGAGCAAATCTTGCAGACAAATCAGTCTTATACTAAGTCATAAATGTTTTGGCGGACGGTCCAAAATCTGATAGTGATGCATGGTATGCCACGCAATAACTTTCCAAATAACTACTTGGACGAGAGCACAAGAGTGAAAGAGAAAGTGTATCGCGTTACTGAATAAAATGAACAAATACTCATTAACATATATACCATTCTAATCCTTAAGTGATTGATCCATTTCTTATCCAATGAAATGCACTTGTCCTTTAGGTCACTTCTAATTGACATCTATTGACTTTCTTATTAGGCTATTTCTTATTGGCTTTCCTTATCAATATACATATGAGTTAACATTAAATCAGAGATGCTGAGAAGTTTAAGTAAAAAGATAGAGTGAAAACAATCCATTAAATTGAAACATATTATACTAATGCTTTATTTCTAAGCTAACGAAAGGAGAAACAATTCGTTAAAAATAATAATGAAAAACTTGTGACTTAAAGGCAAATGAAGACTATCCGTTTAAGATACACATATCTCACTGAATAATGGTCACTTGTAGCACTTAACATCAACAACGCAACAACATCATAAACTCTTACAGATAATGGTATTGAAGCGTAATGAATGTTTTCGAAGTTTCATTTGGCTAGAATTTTATGCTACCACCATTTCTTACGTCACAGGGCTTATTTTCAAAAAAAGCTTTCCTGTGTGTATTCACGAGTCAGTTTTAGGTAAAGCTAGATTTTTCATATTTTATAATCTTAGGATGATTAAATAAAGTAGTGTTAATGATTTAAACATAAGAAATAATTGCAGAGTTATCTAAGAAGTCTGTTGTGATACAATTAATCTATTTTTTTATGGATCAGCAATCAAGTATGAAAATCTGAACAAAAATAGTTAATTACTCAGCTGTATGATATATGTACAGTGAATCAAATAAAAACTATAAAAAAATACTTGTATTGAGACTGTATTTGTATGAAGTACGAGATCATAAAATTGCTCTCTTGATAACGAACTCGTTGACAAAGACATTTTCAAAAGATTATATTTAATTAGTCAGATATATAATGTAATTCAAATAACAGAACTAGGTTCTTCAAAACTATTTTATACAGTCATGCATACCGTTTTGTAACGACATAGCATTTATAAATGCTACTTCTGTATAGTTTAATAAATAAAACATACATAATGTGTTTACTTTTGTGGTTGAATTACTTGTCTGAGTGGCTGATATGTAAATAAGAATATATTTCATTCAAGATTGCTTACACCTTTATAGTGCGACTTATAACCTTTGTAGTTTTTAATGTCAATTACCAAAAAAACACGTTTTAACATATATCCACGATTAACTGACAAGTCTTGTAAGTTATTCTGAACACCTTCTTTACTGATGGTATTACAGACAGATGGAATAAATCCAATTTCTGGTGTTAAAAATAATAAACATATCGAGCGAAATTGAATGTACCCCTTTTTAGGTAAAAATTAATAAGAGTCTTTAGATAAGTAAACACTCTGAATCACCTCACTGTCTATTAGAAGAATAAGCGTTGATACAAACATACATTCTACGTTTACAAGCGAAAAGAACATAAAAAAGTAATTTTTTGATTGAGATCATGAACTGATTGATGTTAGATTACCGTTCGAAACCTGGAAGAACTGGACGGTCGTTTCGTTTCATTGTGGGACTCCTCAACAGTTCGCATCCACGATCACGCTTGCGGGATTCCAACCCAGAGCCTTCGGTCTCGCGCACGAACGCTTAACCAACTGGACCACTGAGCAGGCATCCAATGGTGATAGTGTCTAACATCAACCAATCCACGAAATTGCGCGACTAACTTCCGTTGTACTGAGGTAGATACCTGTCTCTACCCAACATGGATTAACTCTACTGGTCACGGCTTCGAACCCTGCGAGCGATGTCGTGGATGCTCACTGCTGAAGAGTCCCACAATAGAACGAAATGGCCGTCAAGTGCTTCCAGGTTTCCAAAGGTGGTCTAACATCAATTGGTTCATGATCCCAATCAAAAATGTAATAATCTCTACAACACCTATACTGGTAAAAGTAATTTTGTTGTTTCAGTTATTTCACTCAAAAGGTTAAATTTACACAAATACATTATTGATCTAGATTATGTAATATTAATAGTGAATATCATTAAAAGAAAAATTACGTAACTTCATTATATGTAACATGATTTCAATTATATTATCTTTCTATCTAATTAAAGTACAAATCATCTATGGAATGTTTTCTAATTTTAATTTAGCTTCCAATCTAACATTATTTGAACAATCTACTATGATCACAGAAAATTTATCACAATATTATAAAATGAAATTTTCCAAAAAAATAAAATGTATAGAATTAACTTCAAATTATTTATGGTTTAAATGCATTATATTTTTTATTATTTTAATACTACTTATTATATCATTGTATATACGTTTCTTCTATTCTATTCCATTATGGTATACATATTGTAATGAACAAGTGAATTTAATAGATAAATCATCATTTTGTATACGTATTATGCCAATAAATAATTATTTAATACAATCTAATAATAATATAACTCATTTATTAATGGATAATATGACATTATGAGAAATTTCAAAAACACAGATTCAAACAACATTAATATACTACTTATTTGCATTGTTTTGTTTGTTTTGCTTTTTTTTTTGTTTTTGTTTTTTTTTAATTTTCAGTGTTTATTCTTTTTCTTTTTGTGAACAAATAAACAAAAGATTCTTTTCATTTGATCATTAATTGGATACATATATATTTTACTCATCTAAATTACTAATTCTGATTTATGTAATTGTTCATATGTTTTCTTATACTGAAAAAAGGACAATATTATAATCCTTAACAATCATTAATAATAGATAAGTTCGAAATAATTTATTTCATCAATTAAATTTATTATTTCTGATCTCTATTATGTTTGTATACTTTAGAAATACATATGTATAGGATATATATATTTTTTGATTTATGTATATTTGAACCTATTTTTTAAAACGAAATCTAATAAACACTTTTTATCACTAAGAGGATAATTATTATATTCAAATCAAATAAAAGGTGCATAATCTTTTAAACTAACATATGTTTCGTACATTTAATTAGTTGAAAATCATCAATTTTTAACTATATTGTATTTGAATTAGATCAATATGCTCGATAATTATATTCATTCTAGGTTTCAATAAGAAATAAATTTTGTTTATGATGTACAACTTGATATGAATGATAATATGTATCAATCATGAATTAATTACAATCATGATAACTAGAATAAATTGACTCTCGTCTAGCGGAGCTATTAAGAAGGTTATGTAATGGCTTAGCTTCATTAATCAATCACCTTAATAAGTGTTTGATATCAGAAGGAAATAAGAAGCGGCAACTACAATTTATTAGAGGATAGCATGGATAGCAAATTTACAAACACAGAGTGAATTTGAAACAGAGAAGTGAATATATGTATGCAAGCAAATACAGAGGCGAATTTATAGTCAAATCGAATCGTGTGCAGTTAGACAAGGAAAGGCTAATAATAGGATTCGAGTACATGTATGCATTGGAAAGAGAATAAATCATCAAGTGATATTTCAGTGACTAAAATTTAAGCTAGAGAGAAATGTGCGTAGACTGTCATCTGATCAAGCGCACATGTGATAGTGGTCTTAATATTACGAAGAAATATGCGAATGGTTACTGTCCGAACGACATTGTCTGTTAAGTAAGTTAATAAAAGTGCTTGACAAAATTTAATCATAATCCAAATTGATTGTAGGAGAGTTGCTATACTCACCTCTACTTCAACTAAGCGCTGATAATGTCCAGAAAGGCAACCAGAGCTGATAGCATTCAATGATGGTCTAAAATTTTCGAGAACCTTAAAAATATAATATGTTTATGTTACAACTATGACTTTTTCATATAATATAATTTCATCTCAGTACTAAATTTTTGATAATCGAAGTTTTTGATCTTACTTTAGAACGCAATCATCTGAAACTTATATTTTAAAGTTCACGGTAGAGTAGTAAATTCACTTATAGACTAAAGTCATCAAAGAGCGAAACATATGACAGCTGAAAGTGTATTTTGTTCAGTAAAATGACACATTATTTCATACACAAAAGTGATAATAACTATTTATGTACTCAACTTACTAACCAATGAACAAGGACCTAACTGTCATTATTGGTGGTCTTCTTAACCCTAATATTCGTACTCCTTGTTTGTCGAATGAATAATAAATTTATGTAATAGGGATGACTCGGTAATTGTTCGGTCTTATTAAACTATATTATACAAAAATCAAATGCTAAGTTCATATTGATGGATGTTGTGAACATGGTTCTTAAATTGTCATGTAAATAAAATTTTATTCTGTTGAAAAGAACTAACATGATGTCACCTTTTTGCCTTCGAACCTTTAATTAATTAACAATGGAAGTAAATAACACAAGGGAATAGTCAATAAAGCAAAGAAAACATTTAAGTGTATTTCGTTTTATCTATATATTTTAAACAGAAATCACATGTTTAAATATACTAAGAAACGACAATCTGTTTTCCTTTTTTAAAAATTTGAATTATAATCTTTCGAAGCCTTATTTGTATCCATATGACTACGTATTTGTAGAAGTATTTCGATACTGCTGCGTCCCGAAATCGCTTATGACGATGTTGTTGTTCAAGACAAACTAAATAATAAGTTTGTATTGTTTAGAATTTTATGATCAGCTGAACACCGACATTCTATTATATATAAACTCGGCTATCTCAGTAGTGACGTCGTCGAGCGGTAAGCTGAATGATGTGGGTTTAAATCCACAGCGGATTACTAATACCCTCAAGATAACAGTTGAAAATTACTGATCATTGCCAAATAACACGAAAACCTAGGTCAAGATTTCCCTTTGAGTGCCTCCAACTAAATAACATCTCAACATATTGAACTTAGGCTAATTGCCACATTGTAATTTGATTGGTAGAATTCAATCATCATTAAAAAAACAGATAAACAGGTCATCAATCAATACTCAGTTATCAGTGGGTTGTGAACAGCTTTTGTTTCTTTGAATCATCATCGAATTTACTTTCAAGATTTTCGTTATTATGGAGCGTTGCGTCTAACTTAAATAAACAAACTTATTCATCAATTATCCAAATCAGAACAGATTTTTTGTAAAAGAATTTAAATAGTTGTATTGTTGTCTAGCTCTAACCATTAATGGAAAATCGTGTAGTTGTATCGGTGTTCAGCATAGAATTCCTTGTGTTTAAACTACATGCTTCTTTTATGAAATGTAATCTATCTTAATTAAAGATTTTATCCAGAAAATAAAACAATTGTTGCATAATATATTATGCATTCGCATAGGTTATGGTGTAAAATACTTAAGGTCATCATCGTTATGTTTGATATTCATCTGACACTATTTAATTAATGCAATTCAGACAATGCAAAATTCACCGTAAAATAAACAAAACCAACATGATTTCCGAGACTGAAACTGTTTAACATTATTAAAAATTGTTAATTAGGAAAATATGGATAGCATTCGGTATATTTAACCGCAATGCACATGATTTGTATTTGAGCAAGTTAACCAAACAAACAAAGATTTGATTTAAATCATGAGTGGGTCAATGTTAGACGCCATTGAAAACCTGGAAACACTGGATGACTGTTTCGTCCTAATACGGGGCTCTTCAGCAGTGCGCATCCACGGCCCGTACGTGAGATCCGAACCCAGTACCTTCGGTCTCGCGTGCGAAAGCTTAACTTCAAGAACTTTATATTTGCTTCTGTATTTCTTTACCTTATAGAGATTAAAATTTCTCTCTTTCATCTCTCTCTCTCTCTGATTAAGGTTCAGTGCGTACACCATTGAATCACGACTCATTGATCATTAAATAACGCAACCAATTGGACATAACCTTACTAGGTTTGTCATGTGTGAGTGTTTCTGGAATGTTTCATGATAGTATGGAATAGATTTTAAGCGCTTGCTTTCCAAATCGGTCTTTGGTTCAAATTGGTGTGTAACGTAAAGTGTTTTGATATTGATCGAAATTTTCACAACCAATCAACAAGTGAAAAAACGAGTAACGTTTTGATACACACGTGTTTTTTTCTCATTACATTTCACGCTAGACGTTTAGTATTATATTATTCAGTGACTTTGATTACATGATGAATCATGTCTAAGTATTCTATTACAACGAAATCCATAAATCATATAGTCAGATGGCTTACTAAATTAGACACGGTTGAATTAGATTAGCTTTTATTCAGGTGACTGTCTTCTGAATCTCAATCTCACGTATCTTTTTGTATAATCCAGCTAATTTGTAGTATAAATCTATGCAATGTTTGAAGTCTAAATAATGAAATTCCTCTTTTCAAATATTACCAATTTTTCCCAAACATAATAATGCGTCTACAAATAAACATAAACATCAAACTCATTAATTGCAGTCCTAAACATCAATGGGAAGATTCAAACAACTACTGAATTAAAATGAATACCAGTTATTGTTCTAGATGTATTTTGTCATTAATATTATAGTAAATGTCACAAAAATTATGGCAACAATAGCTTTCTTTATAAGATGAAATACGGAAAAAATTATGTAGTTCACAATAGAAACCACTTTTAAATATGAGGAAAGATTGAAATTTCTCTTTGTTATAATGGAACATTATATTCGTGTTCTAGTGAGTAGATTAAAGAGGAATATATATATACGCATTTAAATTGGTAGACACAATGGTATGTTCAGCGAAGGGATCTCATTTCAACAAATTTACTATCAAGCTGTACAATCGTATGTATATGAACTTTTTTGTTAAGTAATAGTTCCGTGAGAAAGTATGAGCAAGAATTAACTGACATGATATAATAGAAGGATTATAATACTAGATTACGTAATAAGAATAATAACAATAGACTTGATAAGTTAGTAACGAATTATGACGTGAATGTAGTAGGATGATTAAAATGCTTTTGTTACAATAATTGAAGGTCATAAAGGTGTAAAAGTAATTAACCTACCCTGGTAATACTGATTTATTATTTAGGGTGGTTATCAAATTGTTTGTGTAATTTTTCTTTTTTTGGTTACGGCCTAACTTTAATCTGTCTAGTTGACCTTTCATTTTTCAGATAAAAACATCTTAACATGTATATGCGTGATCAGACTGTCCGAAATGTATTGCGCAAATATATCATATAATTCTGATAACCTTATTATACCATCGAAATGTATCAAAGGAACTAATTGTTTTAAATTTATTTGATTGAGATCATGAACTGATTGATGTTAGACCACCATTGAAAATCTGGAAGCACTGGATGGCCGTTTCGTTCTATTATGGGACTCCTCAGCAGTGCGCATCCACGGTCACGCTCGCGGGATTCCAACCCAGGGCCTTCGGTCTCGCGCGCGAGCACTTAACCTACTGGACCACGGAGCCGTCATCCAACGGGGTTAATGTCTAACCTCAACCAATCCACGAAATTGCGCGACCATCTTCCATTGTACTGAGGTACACACCTGTTTCTACCCGACACGGATTAGCTCCACTGGTCACGGCTTCTAACTAGAATTCCGAGAATTTTCTCACGAAGCTAGTCACTAGTGAGTACATGGTAATTATCAATTTAGGGGTTGTGGAGATTGTTAAGTTTTTGATTGAGATCATGAATCAATTGATGATAGACCACCACTAAATTTATTGTTTGTTTATTTGTAAGGAATATTTAAATTTACGAAATTCGTATAATTTAGATAACTCATGAGGGATAATAGTTTTCACGTCATCATTTACTTTTTGAGTCCGTATGTAAATTGACTCTACATATGATTAAATTTCTCTCAATTTTGGTAGACTTCTTTCAAATTCAACATTAAGTAGAGTCTTCCATTAGGTGATCTTCAAGTTATCTGACAGTAAAAATAATCTACTATTCCAAGCATTTTATGATAGTATACATACCGAGTATCTATCTATTCAGTACATATAAC